TCTCCATCCCTCAATCGCAAACTGAAACCCGCTCTTTCCCTCTCTTCGAGGCCGAATTCCTTCACTCGACCACCAAACCTTCTCCAGGAGGAAACATTTCCTTCCCTTCTCGGCCTATCTCTCTCAGAACGGGATCCTTTGGGAAAGTCCCTCCTCGCGAAACAAGCGCTTTCAGATCGATAAAGCCTGTCCTCTCTGTAGCGAGGATCCATATCTTTCCGTCTACTATCAAAGCCACCATCAAAGTCGCGGTCGGATCGCCTACGGGACAAACCCCTCGAGTAGCCAACATCGTCGCCAGACATGAAAGGCTGACGGTTACGGTCGTATCTAGAGGGCGAGATAGGACCCTTGCCGGAGGAGGACTTGTGGAAGAAAGGCCGGTGGGAGGAAGAAGCCGGGCGGTCGGAGTTGGAGGTTTCTCTGCCAACATTCTTATCATGGCAGGAATCAAGGTCGTCGCTCGATCTTAGTCTCTTCATGCTTCAGATGAAGATGCGAGATGCATCAACAGCAAAACGACACAGAGGTTTCAACAGCATTCATGTTGGATTAAACAGAGCTAGGGTTTCTGCGGGCGGTCGAAATCAGACGAGAAGACGAAGGGAAAACGTAAGAAGGTGGGAAGCAGAAGAAGAGTACCTGGAAAATAGCCCCAAATTCATCGTCTTTGAGAGCCCTAACTCGCAGATTCAGCGGCTTTTATATACGAATCCTCTGGGAAGAAGAAAAGCGAAGCTGAACGAAGGGAGAAAATGGAATATTACAAGTCAAACTCAGTGGGAAAAGCAATCGAGAAAAGTTTGGTTTTGCCCTCTCTTTTACCTTTTATTTACAGCTCCTGCCACGCCCGCCTAGATTGTCGCGGATGGTATTACTTGTAAAACTGCCCTCATTTGTACACGTGTCACAATGTGTGTGGCGGATGTCCGACCGATAGATAGGTCCGAGGCGATTGAAACGCGTGTCCTATGAAAGGTCAAGATTACACGTGGCATGCGATGTGTGCGTGTGTGTTTTACAAGAAAAGAAAGAGACTGGTTGCCCTTGCGTTGACTTGCCGCACTGTTACTGTCCAAGTTGGGATGCAAAGTATACATTTGTGGAACACTGAAAGAGCAAACAGTACTTAGGAAAATGGTAAACCACGGGTGCCTGTGAGAGACAAAAGGGATTTGTTTTGGATACAAACAGAGGGATGGATGGCTTTTGCATAAACCCTTTGTTGCTCTGCAGTATTTTACGAGCACTTCCACTCTATAAAGAGAGAACAAGTAATAACGAGAACCCTTGGAGCAAGAAACACGCCGACAGTTGATTTCATAGATCACAGCAGTTTTGATTAAGCAAAAGCTTATACTAAGTAAGATAAATGTAATGTTAAGAGACCGAATAGTAAGGCCTCCGACGCTGAGAAGAGAAAACACAACATTTTTTCTGTCCGACTATTTTTGGCATTAAAAATAAAATAGAAAAGAGTTGCTCGACCTTAGTCTGTTTTCACTCTCTGGCCTCTGAAGATCTGATAGAAGAGAGATACCAACCACTGCCACAACATTATCACCCAATTCTCCTTCGTTGCCTTTGCTTCTGGTCTTGGTCCAAACATCCCTTTGTATATTTCCTTCTGCTTTTGATACAGCGCTTTCTCTTCTTCTGAAAGTGCACGCAGCTCTCTTGTGATTGCTTTGTCGTCCGGAGCAAACTTTCGTGCCTTGACAAAATCTTCACGTGCGGATTCCGTCTGTCCAAGCTCTGCCCTCGCCTTCCCTCTTCTAAACAATGCCTTCGCATTATTTTCTTCCTCCATTAACACCTAACAAAATTACAGCCCAATCAAAGTTTTCCGAAGAAGCACCCAATGGCAATGATTCTTGAAAGAATGTTTCAAGTATTTTATTAACTCACCAGATTGCAGTGACCTATTGCTTCTTCGTACCGTTTCAGCTTTATGAGGCAAGCTGACATGTTAAGGTGGCATGGGTTCTTAACAGCTAAGGCCATGTCACGGTACTTTCCATACAGCTGAAACATAAAATCGTCGCCCATGTATGCTATGGCCTGAGAAGAGAGCCATGACCCGTGAAAATGGGAAAACACAGAAGGAGAATTATCAAGCAGTTTTAAACGTCAAAACTTAGACCATTTAAAAGGCTCAAGTCTATAACCATTTCATACTGCTGCATTGCCTCCTCCAGTTTCTCCTCCTTAAACAGAGCATTTCCGTCCATTTTTCTTCTGTCTGCTGTGCTAATCCTTTCTTCAACAGTCATATCACTACGAGGCTTTCCCTGTATAATTTCATCACCATAAGTAAGGAAATCAAGAGAAGAAGTCTAGCTTTGGAGTTTGATATTGGGGGCAGCCTGGTGCCCAAAACATCCTGTTGAGCCTACTTCTATGACTTGAACCCGTGACCCTAGATCACAACAACAACACCTGAACCGGTGCGCCAAGGCTCCCCCTTCTGTTGTTAGATATTTTAAAATAAATACTTGTTTGATGTCATAAAAAACCTGCCTCATTAACTTCATCAAATCCAATAAGTTCAACTTCATATAACAAGTCTGCCATAGGAGGAACATTTGGAAAAGAAAAGCTGCCATCTTTCCCATAGCCCAGTTCCCAGCCAACATGCAAGACAGCACGTTCACCAGACTTCATGCTATAAACACCAACAGCTAAACCAGTCATTTCTTGCTTCTCTGTTACACACACAAAAACAAATCTCATTTCTTAAGTAGGTATGTTCAATTTTCATATGGTAGCACTAGGATGGACAAATCAGATATGAAGATAAAAGTACAGGCCGCTTCATTTTATTCTTAGCACCAAGTTGACTCAGCAGTTCATCAACGATGATTGCAATTAAAAAGAGGGAAGCAGTTGAGAGAAAAATACCTTTTCCTAGAACCAATTCAAGAGGTTGTTGCTCTTGCCATGTATCCTCAAACTTATGCCGAGTGCTTTTAGTCCATGCCTTATAGTGCACTATGGCAAAATATGGAATGATCAGAGAGAATGGATCAAACAAACAACTGTCATGCATCAGAAAATGAAATTTCAAATAGAAAGAATCAAACAAACGGTTGGTCATGCATCAGGAAGCCACCGGCAAACAATTTAAGAAAAAAAAAAGAGTTCCGCTTCACGAAACCATCATGAACAGAGAACACGCAAAGGAATCAGTGTACTTGCTCTATCACTGACCACCAGAGCTTATCACGACTATCTACATCTTTTAACTACGTTACACTGAGTAGAATGATAAAAGAAAATAAATACCGAGGATATTAACATCGGAAGAATCTTGCAGCTTGCAACTAAAAACAAATTCCTGAACTTTGTAAGATGGTGCTTACAGAAGCACGTGGAGTACTTGGATGGCTTGCAACCATGACCTTCCTTAATGATCTGCTTGGTGACTTTCTCATGCAGGAACTCCACTTGGGTATCCACTTTAGGGGGGCCACTACCATCTGGAAAAGGCTCTCCATGCACAAGGTCACTACCTTCGGCCACTATTTCCTTCTCTTCTCCTCCTCGACCTAAACGCAGCAGTAACCAATATCAGTTCTACTTGTACACCTCCAACGTACGTCGACTATGACACCATTACCGAATCTGATTGAGGAGATCTTAGAATCGAACAAGGTGAAAACAGTGCTTCAAACCTAACAGCTAACGAATTGCCAGAAAAGGAGACATATATCCCGGAAACAGAAAAGAGGGTAGACTAACCATGTGTTGGATCCTGCTCTTCCGGAGAATCAGCCATTACTTCCAGACTGCTGTCAGGAAATCAAAAGAGACTGTTAGGATGATGTCGAGATGATGGCAAAAGAGTAGTGAACAATCCGTTTTGCCGATTTGCCAGAGTTCCTTTAATTGAGCTTCATAGCAACGATACAACCCTCGAAAAGAAGGAAACAATGGTTGCTTCTTATTGAACAAAGAGGAAAAAACCGACTGTAATTGTCGACAAACATGTATCCTGAGGTAGATAATTTCATGGCGACCAAACACAGAGAGAGAGAGAGAGAACAAACTTACGGGAGTTGGAGAGATCAGTGACCTAAACAGAGAAGAAGAGACGGGTGTGATTCGAAGAAGATTGGATCGAGAGGGAGAAAGTAACTGGTTAGAATTTCTTTTTCTCTTTCACCCAACAAAAACAGCCGCATCGGAGACCGGACGCGCCTCGTGGAGCGTGTGGATCAAAGGAGAAATTCTTAATTAAAGGGAGAGACAAGTCAAGCGTTACAAGAAATGTCCGAACACGGATCTAACAAAATACATACAGGTATATAAATTTGGAATTGCATGAGTTGATAATTAAGGGAGGAGCGATGTGACTCTCTGTGTGCGCGCGTGTGATTACAATGGCAAAAAGGAGAGAGAAGAATCAGGAGGAACCGGCGGCTTTAAGGAAGTTGTCAAAGGGGGTGGAGGGAGGAGGGTTGAAGTGATGATGATGATGTTGGTACTCCCCCGCAATTACCCTCTCCCTCTCCCTCTTCTCTTGTACGAACGGATTCCCCGTCTAACGCCCAAAAAAAATATACAAGACATTGGACAAATATCCCAGTTGGAGACATACAAAATACAAGGGAAGGACTGAGACAAGAAGATTACCATGGAAACACGCAGCTCCTCCTCCTCCCTCCTGGCACAATTGTGATTTGAGTGGACCATCATGTTGTTATTGCTTCCCATGAATGACATCTTCTCCTGCTTCCCCATCATAAGTGCCTCACAGTGCCCCGCCATTTCGCTGTACGTCATCTCTGGTGGCTCTGTCACTGAGTATCTCCCCAACTGTGCTGTCGTCTGCGACACCTGCTTCATCCAAACCCTGCCTTTCTCAGCTCTCTCTCTTCTTTTTTCTTTTACTACTTTTGTATTGAGAAAAAAACGGCGTCAAACTTACTGCATTGAGAAGTTCGTCAATGCTCAAGAGAGACAGCTTGTTAACGCTCGGCTGTGCGTCCAGTTCCGGGTGTGGACTGGACAATGCATCACTTCCAGGCACAAGCAAAGGAGGCTCAGCCTGCCATTTCAAGAAAAATAAGTTCATCACCATATCTATGTTGAATGGAAGATGCGGATCCCCCTTACATATGTTGCTTGAGATTTGTCCCTTTTCTCTTCACTCTGGTATACTTCTTGCACCAGTGTCTCTGTTAATTGCGCTCCCACCGGACATCCGTCATCTGGTATAAAATCAGCAACCAGCTGCTCTTTTATAGACCACGCATTTTGCTGCACACAAACCTCGACATCGTAAGTAGGTAATTGAAACGCCACCAGAACCCCCAGTGTTAGAAAGAGAGACAGAGAATTCCAACTACATCTGATAGTTTCCCAAGAAACTTCACTATCATGGTTGCATAATATTCTCTAGGTTGATGCTGGATAGTCTCTTCAATAGCTGCAAGTGAATTCAAGGCATCATCATCGTCTTCTTTCGATCCATATTTTTTTTCAGGTTGATTTTCCAGCCCATAAAAAAGAGCATCTAATTTGCAATCCTCCACCAACTGAAGAAATGGGTCTACCTAATTTCCAGAATGTCTTCTATCAGATCACACAGTCATCAAAGCATAACACATATAAAAACATTGATGAGACAAAATGTAGCAGATGTGCTAACTACCGTTTTTTCATTTAGTGCAGCTTTTGCGCTATTAACAAGAGGAGGGACGTCAAAGGCTTTTGCAGAGAAAATAATCATGGACGTAGCCAGAGTAAAAAGAGATCTGCGGCGTGACGGCTGCAATGATCCTAGAGCTGCAACAGAAACTGATTTGTTAAAAAGGAATTGACACTTCTCATGACGATCAGATGCAAAAGACTGCAAGAAAATGTTTCCAGATAACAGATACACTTAAGATGTTAATCAAGCCGTATCCACGCCAAAAACAAAAAGGGACAGAATCCCAGTGTGCCATTCTCTCTCAACATTTTTAGAAAGTGTGACCGATTTGTTTCCTTTCTAAGCGCATAAGAATATCAAGTGATAATCTGGAGAGCTGAAATGCGGAAATCCTACCTCCAAGAGAAATATTTCGCAAAGAAAACGCCAGCTGAAAGCTCCGGACCAGAACCTCATTGCTGGAGTTCTACATTACATAATCGTAGCTAGTTCATTATTCAACGAGAAAAGGTTATTTTAAATGTGGGGCATGAACGTAAAAGCCGGCCTATATTGTTGCCCAAAAACGAGATATTTTGCTGTTGTACCTTGGTTCGCCCAAATAGCAATACTAGGCTGTATGTATTAGCAATTGCTTCATAATTTTGTGGCATGTTTTGAGGAGACATGGACTGCACCCAAATTGATGAAAGCAAGAGCGTAATCTGGTGGCTGCTCAATCTAAGAGGTATCACCTGGCAAATTTCAGTTGGAAAGCATGAAATGTGATAAGAAAAAATGACAGTTGAAAAAAGATTATTTTGCATGAGCTATGGACGACGTGAGTGAGACATACTGGTTTCTCAGATGAATTTCCAGTAGCATTTTGATCTGCTACTACTGATGACGGGTTTTTTTTCAAGCTACGAGTTCGGCTATAACTCGACTTCAGCTTGCTCAACACTGAATTACTATTGTTCTTTGGCTCATCGTCATCATCAAAATATTCTGATGCTTGATGTTCCTTTATGCTATAACCTCTGGTGAATTTTGACTTTGATCTATTAAGTGTCGAAACTCTGTTAACCTTTGCAGTATCCTCTGTGGATTTATCTGATTCCACCTTCAGTTTTCTAAATAGTGCAGCAGAAGAAGAAAACACGGACACCGTTCTTGACAATGTCCTCTGTATATCAGCAGGCCTTCTGGACTTAGGAACTGAATTTGGGCAAACAGAGGATGGGACGAGAACAATTGAAAATATACGGTGGGCGCCCATCCTTGATTCGTGGTCAGTACAGACCATAGCTTGAAGCAACTGATGGAAAAGTGCATCTGGAAAAGCCTGAGAAAGGTTTCATATTATCTGCATATTACCTGGCACTATGGTCACATGTTGGGGAAAGGAACTTCAAGGTAAAGGTTTCTTGCCTTGTTTTGATAGGATATATTCGGTATAGCTGCTATAATTTGCGCTGCGCGAAAAACTGCAGCAATCAGTGTTCTCGCCATTACTGTAATATTTGACATGCTTTCCAACATGACAGCCATTATGTCAAGGATGGGACCTGCATCTCCTACCTGCCTTTTGAAAGACTATCGGTCATGTATTTTATTGAGAAAGATGTAAAGGAAAAAAATAGTACTACTATGATGCAACTGAGATATGCCTACCATGTGTCCTGCGGATCTCAGATGGATCAAAATTATCAAACCATATGTAGTCTTATGCAGACAACCCTCGAACCAAACTTGAGGTTATTTATGAGGATAATAAGAGTTACCTTCTGTGACAACTGCACGAGGCACTCTTCAACTGCAGCTTCGAACTTTAGATTATATTGGATCATCTCATCCCCTAAATTAGAATCATCAAGTGAGCAGTGGATGCTCTTCCGCAGATGTCTGATCATATCACTCAGTGCACCTACTATTGCCATGGATGGCTGAACTTTAGTTTGTCGAGCAAGTGCAGTAGCAACACAAACTATGTCCAGTTGCATTCGAGGATTCTTCAAAACATTCTTGTGGTCAAGATGCTTGATCAACATGGACAACAAAAAGTGTGTATTTTGCCCTGCAGTTGAGAGCACTCACAATTCGATATCAGCGTCTGACATGACTGGAAAATCCAAAATCAAATGGACCAAACGGGGTAGAACACAAACCGGATCGTTCTATCAGCAACTGCATGTCCTGCAAAACAAGTAGAGCAAGACCATCCACAGTGGACCAAACTTCATTGTTATCGAAATACCGGAAGAGTGATTCCAGGACACGCCGCACAGTTGTTGCTTCTTTTGCCAACTTTGCCATATTGTGCAGACAGACTCTCGACCAAAACTTGGGATCCTTAGCATCTTCCCTGTCCATTTCTCTTATTAGAAAAAGGAATTCCTAGCATATATATTCTATGAATTTGATGCATGCAATAGTGAAATGTGACGCATCCAAGAGGAGGCTGGGGTAGAGGATTTACACTGATACAACTGCCTTGCCTCGGTCATCCACAATGCTTCTCCAAGTAGCTATCCTTGTTTCAGCTTCTGTAGAAGAAAATTCTTTATCAATAGAAGCAGTCCCGCTGTCTTGATTGGCTACAGCGAGTGAAACTTGATTAAGGCCTCCATAATTTTCCAATACAACTGAAACGACCTGCAACCAAAGGATGAACGATTTGTTATAAATGTTATGCATCAATTGACAAAGATGAAATATTGTGATTACTTATTGAAATGACTGGTTGTGAATTCCATAGACAAGCTGCGGGAAACTTACATTGTCGAATTCAACTGATATATGTGAAAATTCTCCCATGAACCAAACCTGAGGAAGAAGCTATTAGTCCAGCAGAACCAATTATCTAACTTTCAATCAACTCCCGGTCATCATCAGAGAGCCCAAAATCTATTTTAGAGATAGCAGTCTAGATGAATATATAAATTAAATTATTTATACTACCATTGATGAAAGAGCTTGAAGTCCAGCAGAGCGCAAATTTCTTGGCCTTTCTTCTTCTCCCATTTCATGAGCTAATGGACAAATATTTGGGATCAACCCATCTAAGTTAAACATGTGGGTACCATCTGTCTGGACGACCAATAACAGATCATGGATATCAGACTTAAAAGTTTCAACGTATAATATAGTTTGCAGAGTACAACATGAGAATTTCGCGGGATACATAAATTGCTAAGAGACTCGCACCTGATTGTTAACAAAATCGTATAAAGCTTCGCAACCTAAGATGCGTATTTCATCGTGCCTAGTCTGGTCTAGCAGAATGTGAATGAGGCCAAGGTAGCTACTAGCAAACAACGACCTGTCAGACATAATGTATAAAAACAAAAGTATAGTAAGTTTTGAAATAGAATAACACTACTATTTGGTGGTGTCTGGCTTCATCCAGCGTATCTCTAGCGGTTTAATGTTGAACGAGTAAACATAACATACATTTGCTCCTTACAAGAAACCAGCAGCTTCTTGTAGATACACATGACAATCTTCACAGAGTGGAATTGTTCCATTCTCAAATCTCTGTAGCACCTTTGCTCAAGAGACCTTGTAATCTGAGAGCAATATACCGAATCAGGGCTTACAATTTGGAAGAAAGAGAAACACCAGTTTCAAACAAACAAAGGAGAGCTTGGGGATTTCACCTTAGGTATACGAAGAGAATTTTTCGCAGCGTATTCACACAGTTTACTGATTTTCCGATCATTTGGCTGCTCATCCTGCCAAATATGACATATAAGATGAACTGGTACAGTTAGCAGTTACTGGCAAACTTAAGGTGAAATTCGCATGGCAAATAAGCAGAAGCTAGTAAAGAGGGAAGATGCTTAAACAGCTTGCGCTGTAAAGGATTCTTCAGCTCTCGGTTGCCCAGAATCTAATACCACAAATGACTATGTGGTAATGCGGCGTAACATGGTCTGGATAATATAATACTACAAAGAATATAATGCGGTGTCACATGATTTACATTTCACTAGTTAACAGCGGTTGAAGGTAGTCGGAGCATGAAAATGGCTCATACTAGGTTGCAAAACTATCCTATTTAACCTAACCGCGAAAAGGAGCAGAAACAACCATTTGACAATCTAAATTGAACTCGTCACTGTATTCTGACAAACACGAGAGCTCGCCACAAAGCCTATGATTCGAGGGGGCAAAATAGTTGAAATCATAATCGCATGAGATTTCTTAAAGAAGAAGAAAACGAACCGGGGATCTTGGGAAGATGTCGGAGAGCAGTTTCTTGTAGCGTTTAACGGGATGTCGAGATCTGGCGCGTAAAGCAGGGCAAAAGCAACACAGGCTCTCGCACACAGGGAACACCGTCCTGGAGACGACCCCCATTTCTCTCCCCCGTCGCAGAACTTGAACAATTCCAAATTCACACCCTCATCGCGAATCAAATACAGGATCCGCTTAACTAAGGGATTCTGGAGATTAATCGCAAGGTAAATGTGGAAACCTGAAATGAGGAAGAGAGAGGGAGATGAATCAGGAAAAAGACAATTCTGGAATCAGCAAGAAAAGAGGAAACGAATTTTGCTCCTCTCTCCTCGTCGACTATTTATAGTCTTTTTCCCTCATTGAATTTTTGTTGGTAACCGAGGATTTAATTTAAATCAAGGGAAAAAAAAAGGGGGGTTGATTATGATGGGTCGTTTAGTACAAGGAAGAGGGGAAGACAAGCCTAGGATAGAATAAGCACGAATCATGAAGGTTGGAGTATGGATATGCAAATGAAATGAGCAGCAGTTGTAAAGTATAAAAAAGGGTGGAGAAGAAAAGAGAGAATTGACGGGAATGTAGGGGGAGCGGGATGCGGAAGAGGCTGCGTTAATTTTGGGAGAGGTAAATCAAATGACGTCCCTTGCTTCTATCAAAACCCCAAAATTAAAAAAATAAATAAATAAAACGTAACGGTTTACGTCATCTGCAAGAAAGCTCGATCCGACATTAGAATGGCGACGGCGTGCGCAGACAACTGGTTCCTCAACTTCGACAAGCCGGAAGAGGCGTGGAAGTTCGTGGGATTTATCATCATCTTTGTGACGCGGAGCGTGGTGCACCATCTGATGAAGCCACAGCCTTACCTCACCACCGATTTCGCTGTAAGTCCCATTGATGATGACGATGATTTTGGATGGTGGTCATTCTGATCATATCTATATGAATGTATTGGCAGATAGGGATAGTACTGGGCAATCTTCCCAAAATCCGGGAGGCCTTCTTGGGTCCCTACTCCATAACATTGAACAACATCATAGAGTTTGGAATGATCTGTCACATGTTCGTGTTGGGTCTGGAGATGAGACCGAGTGTCCTCATCCGACCCCCTACCAAAGACGCCCTCATCGCTTACTCAGGAATGTTCACCACTTTCCTCCTTGCCATTCTCACCACCCCTTTCCTCCGCTTCACCACCTCCTCCGCCATCAATTTCCCGCTCGCCCTCTCCCTCATGGCCTCTGGCACCGCCTCCCCTGTCCTCACCCGCCTTATCTCCAACCTCAAGATCCGTAAATCCGACATCGGCAAGCTCGCCACCTCTGCTGGTGTTCACACCGACATGGTCTCCACCCTCTTCTATTGCCTCGGTTTCATCATTCTCCCCACCGAGAAGCCTCCTCCCCAGCCTCTCCACCGCTTCTTCCGCCTCCTCCTCATGATCTCCTTGCTCCTTGCTCAGGCTACCTTTACTGCCATCGTCTCCCCCATCTTCCTCAATTGGGTCAACAACGAGAACCCCGAGGGCAAACCTCTCAAGGGCTCTCACCTCGTCATGTCCCTAGCCTTCATCGTCCTCATCTGCACCTTCCCCACTTGGGCCCCTCAATCCAAGTATAATCCCATCCTCAGCGCCTTCACCGCTGGCCTCTTCCTCCCCAACCACGGCAGAATGTCCAAATGGATCATCAACAAGATCAATTACTTGCTCGGCACTGTCTTCTACCCCGTCTTCTTCTTCTGGGTCGGCTTCATGACTCATATGAGCGACTTTGCCTGGCGTGACAAGATGGTATGGGTCCGAGCCTTTTCCCTCCTCCTCACTGTCATTGCTGGAAAAGTCGTTGGAACCGTTATCTGTGGGGCTTTGCTCGGCTACCATGTCCCTGAGACCGCCTCCCTCGGATTGCTTCTCACTGCCAAGGGCCATTTCCACGTCTTCTTGGCCGCACTCGCCATCAGGGTGAGCTTTTTATTCTCCCTCTTTGCGATTACTCCTCTCCTTTAGTGTTTCTTAAAAAGATTTGTCGCAAAGTGCAGACAAAATCGGTGACCAACACCACCGGGTCGGTGATCATTTTAATCATTGTCATCACCGTTGGTTACTCCCCCTATGTAGTCAAAGACATCATCAAACGAGCAAGGAAGCGCGTGCCGGTGCACATCATGGCACTTCAGTGGCTTGACCCAACCAATGAGCTTAGGGTCATGATCGGCCTCCACGGGGCACATAACATCGGCTCCACCATCAACCTCATGGAGATCTGTCATGGTGGACGTGAGCCTGGCTCTGTTTTCTACGCCACTGACATGGTAGAACTAACGGATGAGATCGCGGCCACGATACAGAGGGTGAATGGAGCGTCATCATTAACAGTGACAGATGATTCAGTGACGGAGATGAGAGACACCATAACGACGGCGGTTAATGGATACACGGAGTTACGGAGTGGTCAAGGCGTCACCGTACGCCGAATGCTTGCTTTGTCCACGTTTACTACGATGGCACACGATGTTTGCGGGTTGGCGGATGAACTCATGGTTTCCATCATCATTCTTCCCTTCCATAAAGGTCGCAATACTGACGGAACTCTTGACTCCGGCCATGCTGGCTTCCGTTACGTCAACCGCAAGGTATGAAAGATAAGATAACCATAAAACATGAAATATGTACTCTTTGTAGAAAATGGGAGGAGGAGATGTAATGTGACATGATATATTTCGTTTTTGGACAGATTCTTAAGAATGCACCTTGTTCGGTGGGAATTCTAGTGGACAGATCGTTTGGCCAAATGGAGGAAGCATGGAGACCAGGAGCGTCCATGGATGTGGCTATAATATTCATAGGTGGCCGGGATGATCGGGAAGCTCTTGCTTTTGCTGCACGTCTTGCCCGTCACTCAGTCGTGAAGTTGAAAGTGATACGTTTTCTAGAAGACAAGAGTTCTCAGAACCCTCCAAAACGCAGTAACATACTAAATAGAGAGAGTGCCGCAGAACAAGAGGAGGAGATGAAGCTGGACGATGAGTGTTTTGCTGAGTTCTACGAGAGGTACATCGCCACCGGAGGACGTGTGACCTACATGGAGAAGCATTTGGCCAACTCATCCGAGACTTTCACGACTCTCAAGTCCCTAGACGGGGAATACGGGCTTGTGATTGTGGGGAGGGGCGGGAGGCGTGCCAATAGCATGCTGACGGTTGGTCTGAACGACTGGCAGCAATGTCCTGAACTTGGTCCCATAGGGGATGTTCTCTCAGGTTCTGATTTCTCCCACAGCACGTCCGTCCTGATCATTCAACAACAGCGCACGCGTGGCCAGCTCGAAGGGCTTCATGACGATTTCTCCATCATGTGATCGGATTGTATGTAATAGTTTATGCCACACTTTGTACGTTAGCCCGAGAGTAAGAGACATCTTTTAGGCAGAACCGTAGAGTAGCAGCGTGATAACGTCTGACGCATATGGAATACCATACAATAAGTTTATCTGATTTTTTATAGACGGAGAGAGTTCTCAGGTTAGCACATCGCCAGCATTACAAGCATTTGGCTCAGTTACTAGAAAACAATCCCCTTCCTCTCTTTCTTTGCAGCTTGGAAATCTAGGTTCTTAATACTGATTCGAGAGCCTGGCCAGCTCCGCCTGAAAAACAAAAAATCAAAATGGGAAGATGGTAAGGCCTCCCGCACAAAACATCAATAATATGTTGTAATTTGATGGCAGAATCGGCATCATGAACATCCACTACCCAGCTATATTCCCAAAACCATCACAACCTCTACAAGATCTGCATGACAGAAAACCAGCATAAATTCTAACACATAATCCAGCTTTCACCTACAAGCTAAGCAAATGCCAAGAAACAGGAGAGCAATTACAACATCAATTTCAAACATTAAGCCAATAAGACTTTCAAATCCAAGACAGAGAGATTTCAAACCTCAAACTGATTCTTCAAATAACCCAGCTCCTTGTCCAGGTCATTGATGGCCTGGTTGTAGGCCTGCATCGGTGAAGACTGGCTTGTCGTGTGTATCTGCAATAGAAAGTAGATAACCACGAGAACGGCCATTCTCTCAATCGTTCCATAATCAATAATTGATTAAAATCCTACAAGGACTCGGACAAAAGAATAGAAAAGACAAGCTAAAAACATAAACCTCCTTGTATTTTCTCTTTAAGGTTCAATATGTTCTATACTGTTCTGGGTTAGGGACTTTCACAAAGGAAAATCTTAAATGAGGCAGAGACAAAACATACTCTGACTATAATTTTGTACTGAAGAGGATGGGGCAGCTTGTAGCCAGCGAAGAGAACGTTTTCGTCACGGTGCAGTTGCCTGATCGGAAAAAAAAAAAGGCAGCGAAGGTTAGGGTTTTGGCTTGAGGGAAAGACTTGTAAACCTAAGCAAACAGGGAGGCATACATGCGGAGAATGTTGCCGATGGTGTGGTCTTCTCTCTCGATCGTGAAAGACGCAGCGTTGATAATCTTCGTGTCCCTCTCATACGAAACCCTAAAATCAAAGGGAAGAGTTTTATGCGAACCTGCAGAGAGAGACTGAGCTAAAGAATACAGACATCTTACTTTTTGGTTCCTTCAGGGACGACGAATCTCTCGTATCGGTCGGGGGCGTTCATGGCGGTTGTCCGTCCTACGTCGCCTTCTCTCCGCTACCCAAGCTATTTCCGCAGTCGGGAGGAGGAGAAAAAAACATAGGCGGACTCGACGCTTCTTTTTAATACCTCCAAGCAAAATTTCCCACGTGTCTAGTCCTTAGTGGTCAGGATTCAGCCGAGAAACCAATAAATTAGGGCGTTTCAGTTTGACCCCATTAAAACCTATAAATTTTGTCAAGGTTTAATTGATTTTTTCTTTTTCCTTTGGATTTTTTTTAAAGGAGAGAGTTGGGCAAACGGTTTAGTTATCAGATAAGCGAATTGACTGATCGGTTTATATCTAAACTGAATTAAAATAAAATAACGGTTTAATAATGAATTTTTAAAATTCGAAATAATCAAAGATGGAATACACCGAATTTGAGTTAATCCAAACCGAGTTGATTAAAATCAAATGAAATCCAAAATAATCAAATCAAATTAACTGTAACCGAACGGGAGGCAGAACTAAAATCAAAATGGAACTCGTTGAAACCGAAAACTCCAATCACAATGAGCTTGCCCACTTCATGGTAATTATTTTTTTGGTTGTGTGTGGATCGTCCAATGGCCGTTGGTAATATTTGCGAATGTGCTAATGCTCGTTGTCGGAAAGACAAGGAGGTGTGCTTGAAGGAGGCATGGGGCGTTGGGGTTTCAACGCAGAGCACGTCCAGCGTTCCAAAGTTCGCCTTACTCTTCTGCCGATGTTCTCTCGTTACATACTCCATGTAGCTACCAATTCGTCTGGTGGGTCAATCCTTCTCGACTCTATTCGTATATTGTTTGGGCAAGTGGGGGCATGCTTCTGTTTAGGAGATACCAGTTTCTCCCTCGTGTGCAGGGGGCAGGCCTCTTCGAAAGATTCTGATGAGGTCTTGGAGACTTGCAGCAAAACATGTATCACAGGAACTGCTTGAAGTCTTGGTCTTTTATCCTGTGGTGCTTTCACTGGAGACTTCCCACCTGTGACCTCACAAAGATCCTTTCTCATACACTTCCCTATTGCTTTGCTTTCATCGTGTAGGTTAGTGGTGTGCATCAAAGTTTACATAAAATAATGGTGTATAAATCAATGGGAACAGGTTATACGCACGAAGAAGAAAATATTACTCGGTGAACAGGTTATATCGGTCGGGTTGTTTATTCTGGTTTTTATATATTTTGAATTTAAATAAAAAACATAATCATTCAGTTTTTATATTAAATTCGGTTCTATCCATTTGGATGGTTTAGTTTTATTTTCTATGGAAAAGATTTTAATTTGTGATAGGAATTTTTTGTTGGTTTCGAATTCGAATTGGTTTTGAGAAATTATTATATCAAACTCGATTTTATATATTATTCGGCGGATAGATTTGGGTGTTCGGATATTAACAAAATAAACCCACGGATGCGAGAGACAGAGAAAAGACAAGGGGAAATGCATGTGTAGCTCGGTCTCGCCTGTTCTCCCTTCGACCAAATACATTTAATCGGACAGAACACCCGGATAAACAAAATGCAGAATATTTAAAAGAAGACGACAGATTTTTTTTAAAAAAAAGGAGCTCCCGAACCCCGCTGGAAGAGAAAAGGGCAAAGATTAGCTCAGCCTGAGCTAGGAAAGTCCAGGTCGTAGATTTCAATTCAGGGTTTTACATAGGAAGTTGGGAAATTAGGGTTTTGATTGTGGAGTGATGGAAGCCCTGGTTGTTGATGCGGGCTCCAAGCTCCTCAAAGCAGGAGCTGCTATCCCCGACCAATCCCCTGCAATGGTGCGTCCATATTTTCTTCCGTTTCCGTTCAGTTATGGAGATGGAATCCATTAGCAAACTTTTTTTTTTTGTTGAATCCGTTAGCAAACTTTTCTTCCTGGCCATAAAGATTCTCTTCGAGTAGCTTGTTTCAGAGTCCTATTTTTGTTTCAAGCTCGTATGGTCGCTGTGCATCTTAAATTTCTTCTTGTCAATGGAGAAAAGTTTGTTGCGCTGTTTCAACAATGACAGCCCATGAATAAAATTTTGCTTTGTTATGTTACCCTATCAGATAATTCCATCACAAATGAAGCGCATGCTTGATGACGGGTCCTTAGCCGATAACCCAGTGTTTGAGGACGTCACTGTCGATCCTATTGAACGGGGCTTCATTAAGGATTGGGATGCCATGGAAGATTTGCTGCGATATGTTGTGTACACTGGGCTTGGATGGGAGGAGGGAAATGAAGGCCAGATACTATTCACGGATCCACTCTCTACTCCCAAGGTTCGGCTTTTCAGCTTTCTCTCTGGCTGTATTCCCTTGGATTTCTATTCTGGATTCTCTCTTCACATGAACGAATTGCTGTTTCATTTCCATTTGCCTGCAGTTTATAAGAATCAATTCTACTAGATGTATGACACAAATTTTCACTTCCTTTTATGTCCCAATGCATGTAACAGAAGAACGCCTACACCACAGAGTATGGCATTCCTCTGATATTAGCCCTTGAAAACCATATGCGCAGTTGAACGGCTTAGTTTCCATGCACATTATGTTTCCATCATTTGTAGGATGTAACAATTCAAACAAAACATTTTCTATTTGTGTATCGATTCTCGATAGTGCTGATTTTTCTGTGAACTAATATAGGTCTTATTTTCCTCAAATGTTTATTTTCGGCAGGCTATTAGAGAACAATTAGTGCAATTGATGTTTGAAACATTCAATGTCTCTGGATTTTATGCATCGGAGCAAGCTGTATTATCCCTTTATGCTGTTGGCCGGATCTCGGGTTGCACTGTTGATATTGGCCATGGGAAGATAGGTATATCGTTTGGCCTTTGTGATAATGATCTGAAGTTGTTACAAATCTTGGAGGATTTAACCCAAAATCGAAATGAGTGAAAACGAAAAATGCCGATCCCAAATAAACTTGAAATTAAGGCGATTTGTTGTTGTTGTTCCCCCTTTTTATGTGTATGTGGACTATATGCTTGCTTGATGCATGTTCAGTGATGAAGTTTAATGCAATTTATATTGCATGATGTATGTACGATGATAAAATTTATAGCAATTTGAATTGTACGATGTATGTTGAATAGTGAAGTTTAAAGTCATTTGTATTGCGTGATGTATGTTCAATAATGAAGTTTAGAGCAATTCATATTTGTTATACCTCTTGTTTCGAAACTGTTTTATGTTCAATGGTTTGATCTCTGATAAATTTTCGTTAGCCAATATTTTTGTCCTGATGTTGGACTTTCTCATATTTGAATTGAACAGGCAGCTCATGCTTTTCTAGTTGGTTTGTGTAATTGTGATGTTGTCTGTTAGCATGTATTTATTGCGTTTCAACATATAATTGATCTCTCCATATCTCACCCAGTGGCTGGAATATTTATTTCTTTCTGTTGTAGCAGATATTGCCCCAGTTCTTGAAGGTGCTGTTCAGCACATTGCCTCAAAACGGTTTGAGCTTGGTGGGACTGATCTGACAGAACTATTTGCTCAAGAGCTTGGGAAATCCAACCCATTGATGAATCTTACCATGTCTGATGTTGAAAAATTGAAGGAGCAGTATGCGTGTTGTGCTGAGGATGAAGTTTCGTATGAGAAAGCCAGAAATTGTGCAATGGAGCAGCATACGCTTCCTGATGGACAGGTTTGTGGCTATAGATCAATAACTACAGTTGTGTTGCCAGCGGAGTTCGGAATCTGCTTCTTTCTTCCTCCTAGTCTCTCCATCGTTTTCTGTTCAGGACAGGCACTATGCACATTTTCCCTTGTTTTCTTGAGTCTCCTTGACGTCTTGCATTGGTTGGATTTTCATGTTGGAGTAACGTTGTATTCTTTCCCATTATAAGTGTTTTGGTGTGTCTATGCATGTGAATTATTCCACCATAGAGTTGTTCCCAGATTTAGTCCGTGACAGAGTTTTCAGCACCACAATTACAATTGTGCAGTTAACAACACTCAGAACAGAAAACTCCAAGTTTCAAAAGTTTCAATTGAGTTTACTTACATGCTCAAGAAACTGATTTAACTCAGACAACGACCCAGTTGTGCCTTTCACTCCATATGCTCTCTCTGTACTTTCCTTACTATTGTTTGCTTCTGCCATGTCTAGTTGCAGCATTTCTGAAACTGTAGATTTTTTTTTTTTATCTTTGCCTGGACGGTTTAGGTGATAACCATTGGGCGGGAGAAATACACTGTTGGTGAAGCTCTGTTCCAGCCGTCAATACTGGGTCTAGAGGAGCATGGAATCGTCGAGCAGCTTGTCCGCATTATCTCTATGGTGTCATCTGAGAACCACCGACAGCTCTTAGAGAATACTGTGCTTTGTGGTGGTACAACCTCCATTACAGGTGAGTTGCTTGTGAAACTTGGGACCCTTTGACTGTGATCGTTTAGAGTGCCTTGGATTATTTTTGGAATTTCAAGGGTCAAAGGCAGAAACGTGCTGTATTCTTCACAGGGTTTGAAGCTAGATTTCAGAAAGAATCAAATCTGTGTTCATCAGCTATCCGACCTGCCTTGGTTAAGGTAAATCCCAAGCTATGTAATTTTTTACGCTCTTCTAATGGACTCAAGAGGAGACCTTCCTCGACATTTTGTCTATGTACAGCCACCGGAGTACATGCCTGAGAATTTGGCCTTGTATTCGGCATGGGTGGGAGGAGCTATACTTGCCAAAGTTGTGTTCCCCCAGAACCAACATGTGACTAAAGCAGACTACGACGAGACTGGGCCTTCTGTAGTTCACAGGAAATGCTTCTGACGGTGTTGAGCCTCTGCTATGTTGTTCTCCATTATATTCGTTGTTACACTAAGTTAAATCTCTTAAATTGTAGCATAAGATTCGTTGCTTAGCAAACGTTGTGTTTATTCTTGCTTGGGTTAAACGTAATTGCTTCTTTTTTTTTCTTTCTAGTTTTAGGGTTTTTTTTGTTTCTCTACTTAATGTATTTTATTCTTGGGCTATTAAACACAAAATCCTACGTTTAATGTTGAAGAAAGAAAATGAATCTTACAAATCAAGTAGGAATTATCTACAAAGAAAGAAAATCATTGGCGAACAGTATAATGGTGATTCAGTGACTGGTGTGTATTTGTAAGAACCTGTGGGGTTAGTGAGTGGGTTTAGTGGCCATAAAAGGTGAAGATTTGGTTTAGGTCTGTTATGTGGTCTGTAGTAGAGAAGGAACGACAATGACGGCCAACGCCCGTCTCTCTCGTCGATTGTATCCCCCAATCTAAGCTAACTCACAGCTGTGCCGCCTTTACCTGGTTTTCCGCTTATACACGGTACACCTCTCCACGGCAAACCAAATATATGACGTTTTAACCATTCCACTTTCTTATAGGAAAAACATGCCAAACTCAGCAACTCCACGCCCATCAGTTTTACTCACTCCCTATACAGCAATTGCCTTCTTTTTAGAGCTATTATTTATCGCTTGGGAACATCCCCTCCAGGAACTCATCGAAATTCTCATCATCCTCGATCCCCCTTTTACCATCCGACTTGGACGCCTTCCTCCCTGTAAATTCAATGTTCAATTCGCATTTCTGGTTAATTGCTTTGATACAAATCCACAACGGCCATTGAATAAGCCACTAAAGCCATGAGAACTCTAGCAATTTCCCAACCTTTTCTCTTCTCTCTAATACATGCTTCGTGCTCAGCATCTTTGTTATCTTCACTGCTCCATTGTTCCCTGCTTCTCAAGTGAAGTTCAGCTTAAACGTGGCCAAGCACAGGCATAATTGATGTTTGGCTGTAACAAGACAACCTCTTAGTAATCAAGGATGGATTTGATCAATACCGTTTCCGTTTCTTAGCTTTCCTTTCTGATCTTTCATGCTCTTTTCTTCTTTTGTAGTGCAGTTTCCCCGCACATCTTATTGCAAACGTTAGATGAAAAGAGGAATGGTGCTGTCAACTTGAAATCAAGCTAGTGATACCCCACAAGTGAAAAATTATCCCATAAAACCAAGAAATAGTTTCTCGGCAGAAGGGTCAGTATTTGCTATGATACACATTGGCAATAGAGGGAAGCCCTCGTAGATATTCAGTTTCCAAATTTCCCGTATTTAGAAAATACAAAAGATGTAGAGATGAACGACCTTAGCATTGAATGCCTACCTCTCACAAGCTGCGAGTTTTACAAGCGCCTGTTTGTGTTCTCCGGCTTCATGATAAGAAAAGTTCACCTGCACCATTCCGGCCATTCAATGAAAGGATAACAAAAAATCACCAGTATAATAGAAACCCATAACCTACAATGATGGCAGAGATTGAAAGATAAAAGAGCAAAAAGTATATTCCCAACGTTCCCTGTATTGAAGAAGGTACACCTATGGAATAAAAGTAAACTTCGACACCATAATTAAGACTTCTTAGGTCGCAGGCTGAGAAGAGCGAGCGGACATGAGGACTCAGGTCGAGGAGCAGCGTAACTAAGAGAGTCGTTCCATTAAGGGTGAGTCTACTGGTCTGTCGCTTTCTAAATTGACTAAGTGAAGATTGAAAGATCCGAGCTAGACTTGAATTTCTCAAGTTTTGCCATGCTTTTGAAGATCCGCCCAAAAGTATAACCATAACGTTGTGGCAAAAACTAAAAGCATCCAATAGGATAAAAGATTAATTAGCGAGAAAGGGTAAGATACTTGCCTCATAGCTAGCTAATTCCTTTTCATCACAATGTTTGTTCCCACATACGAATTGCCCTGACAGAGCAGATTTCCACTCAAAACTCTCTCTCATGTTATTAAAAGGCAACCCAGACCAACGGACTCTGCAGGAATATTACCTTTCCCCGAAATTACTTCCCTTTCCGTTCTCCATCTCAAACCAATCTGGAGTTAGTACATCAAAATTGAATGAAATTTAGTTAAGGTAACCTACTTGGGACTTATGACAGAAGCTGGAGATAGAAATGAAACAAGAAAGGATCATTTTCCATTTACCTGGCCAGTCTTGTATCTTGACAAGTCAGCTATGCAGTATCTTTAACAAGTTAAGGAGATGAACAAGGATGCATTAAGAAATACAAATACAGGAGATTTCAGTAAGGTCCTAATAAATAGTCTAAATGTTTCCTATTCTTCTATTATGCAGTACGCTTATGTTTCCTATTCTTCTATTAGCACCAAGACAGGGTATTAAATTACAGTCTAATTACTGAAGACCTCTATGAACATTTTCCAAATGGCAGCATCATACACCACTAGCCAAAACATCTGCCACAATCAGTAATTGTCCTTTGCAATGAGAAGCAACACCATTTCTTCAAGGATACTCCTTAAAAAGCTTGTCATAGTATCGCTTGACCAGCCTTTGCTCCCATGAAGCATTCAAATCATCTTCCTCTGAACGTATAAACCTTTGCAGGATAAACCCACAATCAAGAAGAATACTCAAAACACAGAAGTTTAGAGATCAGAAGATTAAAAGAAACAAAAGTCACTATTATTTATCAGCAATGATAAGCAAAAGTTCTATGTTGACATGGGAAAAGATGAAACAGTATCCAACAAGAAATTTGACGAGACACTCAGAATACAATGTACTGATCAAATTGGATTAGAAGGAGAAACCAAGAAACCACATAGGCGACACAAATTGTGCAGAAATTTAAATTAACATACCGATATCCTTCTCTTAGTGTGTCATAGTCGGTTTTAACCGGCAACTTAACTTCCGTCGGCTTTTCCTTCCCATAGAAACGAACTGCGGAGTGAAGAAGTCAAGAGAATTGAAAAAGGGACTTTCCTTAGGAACAACAACTGGAGAAAAGCTGGTGAAACTAGGAACAGCAGCCAATCGTGATTCGTGAATCATAAGAAAAACTCGAGGGTAAAGAAATCATATTATGGAAACGGAACAGGCTGACGGTCCTCCTTCCTTCCTCTGAGGAGAAGACAGTTCATCAGTCACTTTGATTTGGGACACAGACTTGGACAAACAAAAGTGCTACATATTTGTCCAATTCCCAAAATTGCCCCAGCATATTTAACCATAATCAAGCGTACAAACCGAAACAAGAATTAAAGACAGAAAAACACAGGCGGATTGTACGAAGTGCAGAAGATACCGTAGTCATTCAGAAACTTGTTATGCCGATCGTACGCATTCAGACCACGAATATAAGCTTGGTACTGCCTGTAAAAGAAGAAGACGAAATCAGATTGTGAAAAAGACACACGAGGTTGGAGGAGGCAAAATGAACGAAACTGCTTCCGCTCTTCTCTATTGTAGATGTCGGATCTGAGAGACGCCGAGGAAGCCATGACCTTCGGTGAGTCCAGCAGCTTCGCGATCAGGTTACGAATGACAACTGAGAAAATGGTTGGGCCGTATGTAAGCCCAATTCTAATAGCCCAACAAACACGACTCGATTCGGCACTGCAGACGTTTATCTTGAAGTGGAGTCCCCATTAGTTTGCTCCGCCACTTTCGTACCTTAGCAAGTCACCTTCGTCTTTGTGGTAGTCACATGTAGGAGTGTAAAACGGACCGGCTCCAATCCAATCCGACTCGTTCTGATCTGAAAAAATTTTAATCCTGTCCAATCCGATCCATTTTTTAACGAGCTATAAATATATCAACTCAACTCATATCGTCTTAGTCCGTGAACTAAACAAACCGATCCGCGAGTCAAATATATTGTTTTTAAAAATAAAATTTTAGTATTAAAGATATTTAAAACTATTTTTCATATTTAAAAAATATTTAAAATATAATACAAAAATAAAATTTAAAACAAAAACAAACTAAATATGTAATTAAAAAATATAATTTTTATATAAAAATATTTTAAAATATATACAAAATATTAAAATTAAAAAAATATATATTTTTTGGCCCGCGAGTCAGTCCGGCTCCTCGCCACGAGCCCGATTCGTGATGGACTGGCTCGTTTGGCCCGGTTTTTTCTGGGCTCAAATATTTTGAGCTCCATTCGGAAAAATATGGGTCGACTCACGAGGCGGCCCGCGATCCGCGGCTCGTTTTACACCCCTAGTCACATGGATCTTGAAGTGTATTTTACGATCCTCACCGATTTATTTGTTTCTAGAGAGTTTTATGATTCTTCACGTGAACTGCTGTCTGTATCTTCTTTTATAGTTTTTCATCAAATGCCTATCAATCTCGTAATTATTCTTTTTACTGTCCGGCGGCTGTTTACATGTATCTTTGCTTCTTCCTTAGGTCCTTTTTCCAGTGCCAAAATGTTAACATTTGAAGCACTCAGAAACATCACAAAATGGGTGCCTATTTACAAGAAATACCACATTGAACCTCGAGCTCCGGAATTGTACTTTGCACAAATAAAAAATAATTACTTGAAGGATAAAGTCTACCCATCATTTGTCAAAGATCGTAGAGCTATGAAAGTAAGGTATGAGTCTAGTCTAGTCAATGTAAATTGTGCTATCATTTTTTTTTTTTGTCATGCTTTAACGACCAGTTATTCTCTCAGCCATGGTCCGGAAATAATACAAGGGACCATCCGGGAATGTTCCAGGCAAGGGAGAACGCAAACAATCATTTCTCCGCTTCCGTGTTCTTGTAGTATGTTTACATACATTCCCGAAAGGCTATTATTTTCCTTGTGTATTGAGAGTGTCCTACTTCTACTCTGTATGTTGACCGCAGCATTTACCTGGGTGCAAGTCTTCCTAGGCCAACCTGGTCATTGGCTCAGCATAAGTACCTTTAGCTCTCTTTCTCTTCTGTTTCTTTTTAACACTTTTGATGATGTGTATTGCAGATAAACTTGAGAGCCCTATATGGGATTCAAGGACCCGTATATGTGGGCACTGGAGATGTTTTTAATAGAACAACACTATATGGATACGAACCACCAGCCAAACCGAAACACGAGAAAGCTGCTCTTTAATTTATCTTCGTCCTGTGGTGGATCAAGAAAGAAGAGTTCCGAATCCAAAAAAGGAAAAAAGAAATCCGGCAACCATGTCAACTCGACTATTCCTGTATTCAACCTTGATAAAATAGAAGAGGGATATATATATGGGTCGGTAACCTAGAATATACTTCTAGATTCTTCCGGTTTTATCATGTGTCCACACGGCAGGCAGTGCAAAATGCTTTACGCATTTTGTTTAAATTGGTTCAGACTAGGCACCTGTGCATCTCTTAATCATTGAGCGTTGGTAAAATCAGGTACCGGTTTTGATGATGAGAAGGCGCTCTTGATGTCGCAAATGATTCCTGAAGCAATTTGGACAGTCTGATGTTTTTGTTGCTTCTACGCTTATGGAAAATGGCGGTGTTCCGCCTCCTGCAGCTCCAGAAATGCTTCTTAAAAGAAGCTATCCATGTCATTAGCTGTGATACAAGGACAAAACACAAAGGGTAACTGAGGTATTTCCCAATATTACTCTAAACATGAGTTTGCATTTACCTGTAGTTGCGTTCAATGTTTTAGGACCATCTTCTTCAACCTCCTGTGATCCGCTTATTAAACCCCCTGGAAGATACTCATGTCATGGCGTTGGTTATTACATCGGATGGGTATATGGGTCGGTAACAGAAGATATGCTCACCGGATTTAAGATGCATGCCCATGATTGGCGGTCAATATACTGATTGGCAGTCACTATACTGTATCCGTAAGCGACCAGCATTTAAGGGGTCAGCTCCCTATTAATCGTCGTTTTAACCATGTGCTGCGGTGGACTCTAGGTTCATAGCGTCTGGAGAGGTTTGCATATGTGAACACTACCATTTATCCCATTACCTCCATCCTTCTTCTCATGTACTGTACACTACCAGCCGTCTGTCTCTTCCCTAGCAAGTTCACTATTCCACAGGTTTCATCATCTTCTCTCTGTCTCAAAGGCTTTACTTGATGATGTTGATTTTATGAATATATGGGACGGGCATCCTGGAAATGAGATGGAACGGAGTAGGAATAGATGGATGGTGGAGGAACGAGCAGTTCTAGGTGATCGGAGGGGTATCAACGCACCTGTTTGAGGAGTTCCAAGGTCTCCTGAAAGTTTTGGCGGGTCGTATAGGCATAAACTTCACTGTAACGTCAAAGGCGTCAGACGAAGATGGAGACTATGTGGAGCTGTACATGTCTAAATGGTCGACGCTGCTGATAATTAACTTGGTGGGAGTGGTGGCAAGAGCGTCTTAAGCCATCAACAGTGGGTATACCAATCACGGGGACCTCTTCTTCGCCTTCTGGGTCATAATCCATTGCTACCCGTTCATCAAGGGTCTAATGGGTCGGCAGAACTGGACGCCTACCATCATTGTCGTCGGGTCCAACCTACAAGCTTCCATCTTCTTCTTGCTCTGCGTTCGGATCGATCTCTTCAACACACGACTCATGGGTCACGAAACTAATAGATTCAGGTAGGAAGCAACACAAAATAAACCAAATTCGATATCAACTGTTTGAGAGACTTTGTTTGTCTGTTTTTTGGGCGGAAGATTGTTTCATGATCATGTGTACAAGAGTTTGCAAAGGGTATACAGCTGCACGCTGCACAGTCAGAAGTGTTTTGAGAGAGGTTTATGGATATGGACCCTCTCTACCTTGGGCATGGAAATATCAGTTTTTGTTTCATTTGTAAGGAGCGCAGAATGGCAAATTGCAAAAGCAAAAAAGACGTCAGAAACTGCAACAAAATAAAAAGGTGGGCTTTTGTGAAATTTTCCCAGTGAAGAAAAGCAATTCCAAGCTTACAGCATTTAATCTCAGCAGTTCAGAATTTGAATTTGGACAGGCTCAATACAACTGAGTCCCTCCTTTCCTCCCATTAACAATTCATCTCTGCTTTGCATGAATCCTCTGTTGAAGTTATTGGACCAAAACGAATGTACCTCAGGCATCAGTCCTGACCATTTACCATCAACCCTAACACATGCAAAACGCGCCTCCTTCCAAAATTGGTTGACATTTCCTCTCCATACAGCCATGCTTCTGCGTCATCATTTTGTTGCACAGTAAATCACAAATCATGCAAATATATCCTCGGTGATCAACGGTTCTTCGCAATCCACGCAGGTCTCGGGGGCAGAGTCGAGCTGCTCATAATTAAGTTGTCTAGAAGCTTCATACAAAGCAATGCCTACACTTACTGAGAGATTCAGACATCTCACATACGTCTCCACCATAGGAATACGTATAGTTCCCCCACCATATGTTTCACTTTTGCAATCTGACAGTACATCAGGTGGTAACCCACTTGTCTCTGAGCCAAAGAGGAGGTAATCACCTCTTCTGTAAGACAATTCCTGCATCGAGTTTTCCAACATGTGTAAAAGGTGTGACTTGATTGAGATGACAGATAACAAATTCGAACTCCTGGTGTTGCTACAAGTTGACCTAATGAAGTCATAATGTTACAGTTCTGACATGTAATGCCCTTGTCAGTCTCTCACTTGGTTTTATAAAAGAAGTGAGAAAGATCTTTGGAGAACTGACATGTTTGTAAACGTTTACTTGCCCACTATATGCCAGTTCTGTGTGCCTAAGACTTATAGTTGTCGTGCAGGCTAATGATGGTCATCAATGAAAAAAGCTTGAACAATAAGAGAAGTGAGAAAGACAGGTAACATACAGAATGAATTTTGGTTCCTCTTTTTGTGAAAGCCAGCAACCTTTTTTCTCCCTCCTACACCAAAACTCCAAAAATATGTCATGTCAGAAGCAACACATGCAGCAATTGAACTTCCAAAAATTGTCACAGTGATGTGGAAAACCTGTTGCTTGAAATACTCTCGGAACTCCGCCCATGAGCTGTGTACTTTCACAACAACATAACTTTGCTTTAAAGTTAGGAACATACAAACAGAAGGAGAGGGCATGAAACAATTTACAATGTTTCAACATTAGATAACAAGAGGCGATTTTCAACAGAAGATAACTATGAGATTGCATACCACCACACAACCTGCATAAAACCTAGATTGTGTTGAAATTTGGCCAAGGGGCCTAGTCAGATTGCAATCCTATGCCTAGATGAAAGAGGTTGGATACGGCCAATAATCCAAACCAGCTCGCTTTAGCTTGGAGTCATCCACTTTAAAGCCTAAAGGCTGAAGCAAAATCCAAAAGTAACTAAAATGATTATAGTTTTGGGGATTTAGAAAGACTGGAATAGTAAAGTGACAGTTGTGTGATTGTGCTTGTGCGTTTGAAATGATGAAGATACCCCAACTAAATGAAGACCAACAGCTGACGCTGCACATGTTCTTGCGATGCAGCCTGTGTTTCCAGGAATCTGTTGAGGAAAACAAAAGTGTTAGGACCAGCTCTAAGGAAATTGAGGTTATGTGCAACCCACAGAAAATGGTATCTACGTAGCAAGTTATTAGACAATGCATTGAAGCTGGTCCCATTTAACAGAATAACATAGTACAAGAGAAAACAACCAATTCAAAATGGTGTAATCAAATCAGTGAAAAAGTAGCTAAGGCTAGATAAAGGACAACTCGAAAGCTTAACATCAGAGTTATACAATCTTGACCGCTATATATATTTTTTCCACACTATCCAACGATGTAAAGTGAAAACGTTTCTCGCATTATCACGAAGGCTTGACGTATTTAATAATAAAAAAAGGTGCTTGATGTAAAACCATTTGGTTCCGTAGTAGTTGAAACTTGAAAGAGAAGCTCTGGATTTCGATTTGGTTAAAAGTAAAAAACAAATTTTGACCAGGTACACAGTTGTAACCAGGGGGGTGCAGATTAAAATCCAACCAATCAACGAATAATCTTTGATGTATACCCCCTGCATAGATGTTGTGGAGTTCACAATCATCTAAGAAAATCAAATACAAAGAAAGATAGGGTTTGTAATCCCAAAATGGGAAGCTATATGAAAAACTTCCTTCTTTGTAATGAAACAAGCATAAAAAGCAGCAAACAACCACTAGAAACATTCGAAGGCGAGATATTCAACAGTCATTATCCAAACCTGGGGAGAAACCAGAACTACTTGAAGCAGCTTATTCCTCGCAACTTCCCGAACTCCCTCTCCCGTTCCTCGCGGCAACAATATCCCCTTCCCTGCTTCACCTACATCTGTTCCCGAACTACAGATAAGAATCCATGAGATTTCTGAAGAATTGAACTGGTGAATAGAGAGAGAGAGAGTTACCGCGAGGGAGGAGGTGGGAGGAAGACGAGGTGATAGAGAGAGAGCGGTGTCTCCTAAGATTAATGAGGTTGAGAGGTCGAAAGAGACGAGCTCTTGACTGAAGATGCAACGGTGATGACGTTATGGCGCTTAGAGTTTTCAGGCCTCCGCAACTCTCCATTCCCGCTCGCACTTCTCACTGGATTGCAGACCACGGGCCGAGAAAAGAGAAAAAGACAAAACCCATGCCTTGGGACTTGGTTGGTATTTCTTCTCTTTTTACTCTGGAACCCCACCATTCTACTAAATTAGATATTAAGACCTTTAGTTTCTCTACAAAATATGACATGCGCCCCGTTTACCTGATTTTTTTCTGAAAACGCTGGGGGCCTTACAGTAACATAAGAAACCTAAGGTACCCAAACGGAAAAAAAGGAAGGCTCCTCTTTTCCTTTTCCTTAGCCCAAGAGGCAGATGCAGATAGAATCATAGAAAGGGGCAGAATCGCACGAGGTCGGCATTCTCATCGTCTGATTGTTTTTTCGGTCTTCTTCTATTTCCACCGGCCACCGGCGCAGGTGACAAATCTCCGATCTTTCTGGTCTTTCCTTCTTCTTGGATTGTATTCAGTTCCGGTGTTTTATCGTTTCTCTATTTGATCCGGCGACCTAGGTTTTCTTTTCTTTTGCCCCTGTAACCTCTGAATAAAGCATAGATTTTGGGATTACTCTCGGTAATTAGGGTTTCGAACGTGGATACGATTTTGATTCCCTTTACCAACGTGGATCTTGTATTGATCGGACGTATCATCGTTAGAGTATGCCCCTATATATATCTATTGTTATCGACGATAGCATTTACCCTCCTATTCCCTCTTTCCCCTCCTGTTCCTTGTGATCTGGATCACGGACTTGTTTCTTAACTAGTTAATGGGTATTTCTTCAGAAATTTAACTGGAGATTATAGATTTATTGGTTCTTACTAGTTTCGGAGCTTATCTGTGGAACAGTGATTCCTATTTAACTATAGCACGCGGCTCATTTGCAATGGAAAAAGGAGCACCGCCTAGCATCTTTGTGAATGATGGGTCATTCATGGAAAGGTTCAAACAGCTTCAGCAAGAGAAAGATAAAGAGAAACAGAAGGTTGCACCCGTTGAGGATTCTAAACCAGTCAGAATTATATCTGGGACTTCAAATCCTAGGTTTTCTGTTAGTAAAATTCCTGTTGGTTTTAAGGCCAACGAATCCCAGAAGGTTACACACTTGGGAACAGGTGGGAAGCTCGCTTTCAGCTTGAAGCAAAAATCGAAGCTCGTAGCACCCCCTGTCAAGCTAGGTACAGATGAAGATGAAGATGAGGATGAAGATGGGGAGCATGCTAAGAATGTACAAGGCTTTGCATCAGCGAAGCGGCAGAAGTTGGATCAGAGGGACGTGCCTGAAAAATCATCCAAACAACCAGATGTTGGTAATGACTGTTTATATAAATATCTGTGTTTGATTGGAACTGTATGGAAGGTCTCTGTGAAGCTTCTAGAGTCTAGTTGTTTGTTGCCGTTTTAATAATTTATCATCAGTTGGTTTTTGTCCTGTTCAATTATCTGCAATTTGGTATGGCTTTGCTTTCTTTTCTACTCTCAACGTTCTTCAAACAGATTTTTGCATCATTGATTTGGTGACTCCCAGAGTATTATGAACATTTCAGTTGTTAATTTGAGCCTATTATTCAGGGTTATGTCTAACTCCTGAATGTTGTGTTAAAGTTACGTCGTTATTGATGGATCTGTCCTTGTGAAATGAAGAGGGCAAGCGCTTTTGAATATTTCTTGTCTACTGAATGCAGTGTCTTAACCACCCATCACATTACTGGAAAGAGATGTTCAATGAAAGATTTGGAATATCTAACGCGCCTGCAACAAGAGTAGTTTGCATTCCCTTGTTCATGCTCTAGATATTAATCAATTTTATAAGTGATGTGCAGCACCTCCATCGCCCAGCGATCCTACAGTGAAGAAAGTAGCAGATAAATTAGCAAGCTTTGTTGCTAAGCATGGAAGACCATTTGAGCATGTTACACGGCAAAAAAATCCTGGGGATACTCCTTTTAAGTATGCTATTTGTTGCTTTTTGATCATCTATGCTTTTATTTTTTTCGATGCTTTGTTTTATTCACAGTGGATTGGTACTTAATTTGTTTAGACACCGTGTCAAGTTTATGGAGTATATATCTTGATGTGTGAGCAGATTTCTTTTTGACGAGAGCTGTGCAGACTACAAGTACTATGAGTACAGGCTTGCGGAGGAGGAAAAGGATCTGTCACAAACAAAGGAATCTCAGGTATCTCGAAGTGGTACGTGTGACATATCCCTACTTCTGTATTGACCATAAAGCCATGCAACTAGCTTACTCTGTTTTTTCTTTCAGCAGATGCATCCTTTGAAATAAGCATGTAAAAAGAACTGTTATCTCACTTTTCCTTGCAATGCAATCGCAGAATTTCCTTTTACATGGATGTATACTCTTGGTAGCATGTATATCTGTAATGTGATATTATATGAGGACAGTATCTACTTTCCATCATGATCACGGGTTCTGTAATCATTTTGATCGCTTCTGCATGTTGTTTTTTCTCCATGTACATTCTTAGTGTTGATTTGCTTTTTCCAGGTGGCCAGCAATCATCTAAGGCAGCAGGGGCCTCACACAGACCAGCTCAGCAGCAATCAGGTTATCAGATCCCTGCCTCAGCTCTATATGAGATTCCTGAGGAGTCCGGAGCTTCTTCTACAAGAACTAGCAACAGTATGTCACAGTTCTTCATTCGTGGCTTAAGTTCCCTTCCTGAGACATTTCTTGTTCATATGGCACTGACCTGTGGTTGTATGCATCCTCACCTGTATTTTGCAGGTGGCTCAAGTATAACAAAGGGTACAGACCCTATATCAATGATGGAGTTCTATATGAAGAAGGCTGCCGAAGAAGAGAAGGTGAGACAGCCTAAGCAATCAAAAGATGAAATGCCCCCACCAGCTTCCCTGCAAGGTTCATCTGGTGAGAACAAATCATATTTTCTGCATGGTTTGAGCGGTTCTGGGGTCTTGTTCCACAATGTTTAATTTAAGCTATTGGTTCTACAGCTACTGGAAAGAGAGGTCATCATATGGGCGATTATATCCCCCTAGAAGAGCTTGAGAAATTTCTTGCGAAGTGTAACGATACTGGTGCACAACAAGCTGCGAAGGAGGCAGCTGAAAAGGCTAAAATCCAAGCAGATAATGTTGGGCATAAGCTCCTGTCAAAAATGGGATGGAAAGAAGGTGCTTACTCTCTCGATTATTATTACCCTCGTGCCCTTATTTATGTCTCTCTGTTGTGCTTTGTGGGCACAAGGTGCTTAGCAAGTTGGGGGAGTGGATTACAGGTGAGGGTATAGGGAGTTCCAGAAAGGGTATGGCAGACCCTATAATGGCAGGCGATGTGAAGACGAACAACTTGGGAGTCGGGGCTTCTGCTCCAGGAGAGGTTACGCCTGATGATGATATATACGAGCAGTACAAGAAGCGAATGATGTTGGGTTACAAGTACAGGCCCAATCCCCTGGTACTTGTGCCCTTTTCCTATTGTTTTTTATTTGGGTCAAGTTACATGATGTTGTACTCATCTCCCCCTAATGTCTTTTGTTCTGCAGGGAAATCCCAGGAAGGCGTATTACTAGGAAGCACTCAGTGGCACAATCATGACCTATTCCCCTGTCTAAAGCTGCTACTGATGTTAATTGAAGTGCTTGTTTGGACTGTTTTCTGGGAGAAAAAACTTGAGTGTTCGAACTTTTTACAGAGATTAATTAGCTGGCAATTTGCCCATATGGTAGTATGGATGTTTGTTCTTATTTGTTCTTAACGAGTTGGGGAAACTGCTTTAAGAAGCTGATATTTCTTCTCAATATGGCTATTATTGCTTTGTCACGAAACGATCCAGGAGTCAGGTGAGTTTCAGTCGGACAACAGTGTGTTATTACAACCCAGAAGTACGAAAGGAGAGAGAAAAAAAGAGTGTGTATCTTCGAGTTGATGATTCCGCAGGGAGGGAAATTGGCGGAGCATCTCCGGGGAAGCTGAACACCATGGAGAGGGGAGGAGACAGAACTGTGCAACAACCGTCATCACCCATATCCCCAGTGCTTTGTCCTTCATTAGCCAGATGCCTCTGAATATTATGGAGTGAGCTTCCATTTCTGTTTGTATATACACACACGCAAGCGATACCCCTCCCTCCCTCCTATCGCCGTATAGAGAAGGTTCACACCTTGTCGATGTTCCCTCCCTTTCGGCGTTGCTAAGGCGATTCCTGGAGGCTGTATTAAGCCTTTCCCCTTTCAAAAATTTGCAATGTGATTATCCTGTACGAAGAACTAATGAACTATCAACAGAGGATGCCTATTAACACTCGCACAAATAAATAAGAATATTGACAGAACCTTGATCTATAGCGATGTGCAGAAGAACTTTATCCTAAGAGCTGTTGTGATAGCTTACTGACCGACCACAAGAACCAGCCCAAAGCAGACCAGTCTTTCCTGGCCAAATCACGGATTCGGGGCTTCTTGCTGTTGCAAAATTAATTATCACGACACTAACCGTGCCTAAACAGTAGCTGCTGGCGTGTTTATGGACCGAGTGCCTTATTGGGCCCGAAGTAGGCCCACTAAGGAATAACCGTTTTAGGTTCAAGTGTTTATGATGTCCCAATGTCCTGATAGATCGATAGCATCAAAATAGAGAATCCCCGTATAAGAAGTCAGAAATCATCAGCCGCCTCTTCTCCTTCTCCCCTCCTTAAACCTCATCCATTTTCCGCCGCAACCCCGATTCCGATTTCCTCCTCCACGGTATTACTTCTTTTACTCTGATTCGTCGTGTTTTTCTTTTCAATCTGATTGTGTCGTTCAAATCCCAGTTGTTAATGTTTCGTGCTATGCTTCGCATGCCTTTGGATATTCGAAGATTTGATTTCCTCACGGATCTCATCGTTGCAGGGTTTTCGTAACCTGTCGTGCCTCCTACAGCTTAAGGGTGATGGCTGGAAAGTCGAACAAATTGAGGAGCAGGAGAGCTTCACAGAGCTCCACCAATTCCTCGGAGCTTATTCCCCAAAAGGACACTGTAAGCGCTGTAGCCTCCACCGTTACTGACACCGGTGAACCTCCTAAGCCTGACGATGAAAACTCTCAATTGGGGAATAGCGATTCCCAGCCCAAGCAAGGTAGCGGTTGTCATTGTGGTCATCTCTTTGTAACCCATTTGATTTGGTACGCTGGTTTCTTCCAGGTGAACTTCGCCTTTATCCTGTTTCTGTTAAAGCACAAACTGGGGAGAGGCTTGAGCTACAAGTGAGTCCCGCTTTCTTTTGTACAAATAGTCAGAACCCACACCGCACCATTTTTTAAAACTGTAGAGTACTATCCTCATACTCGATGACGCGTTCTTTTGGTTTCTGAATGTATATCTCTGATCCTCTTTCCAGCTGAATCCTGGAGACTCAGTGATGGATATAAGGCAGTTCCTTCTCGATGCTCCAGAGACCTGTTATTTCACATGCTATGACTTATTGCTCCACACTAAGGATGGTGAGACTCACCATCTTGAGGACTACAATGAGATTTCTGAAGTAGCTGACATCACCAGTGGTGGTTGCTCCTTGGAAATGGTTGCGGGTATACTGGCATTGTCTTTCCCTTTTCTTTGGCTTAAAAGCTATTTTTTCAAAGCTGACATACTCTACATCTTTTTACAGCATTATATGATGATAGATCCATCAGGGCTCATGTTCACCGTGCAAGAGATCTTCTGTCCCTTTCGACACTCCAATCTTCCCTGTCAACAATGCTTGCATTGCAGTATGACACAGCTCAGAACAAAGCTCAGAGTTCTGGAGGTAATAAATCTGAAAATTAATTGAGCCTTGTTTTACCTTAATAGTTTAGATCTATGTGTTTTCAGAAAGAAAATCAGGTCTTTATTCTGTAACAGATAGCCCGATAACTGATGTCCCAGAGCTTGACTCTCTGGGTTTTATGGAGGATGTGCCCAGTTCTCTCAGTAAGTTAATCAATTCTCCGCTAAAAGAGATCAAGTGTGTGGAGAGCATTGTCTTCTCATCATTCAACCCTCCCCCAAGCCACAGAAGGTATAGGGCAACAGCTTCTATTGTTTGTTGTTGTTTTGGGGATAAGTAGACTATTATTTGGCTGAACTATCTCATAACGCACTTATATCTTGCTGGACAGGCTTGTAGGAGACTTAATTTATTTGGATGTGGTGACACTGGAGGGTAACAAGTATTGTATGACGGGAACCACAAAGACATTTTATGGTAACTCTAGCACGGGAAGTGTTCTTGATCCCAGGCCTTGTAAATCTGGGTTCGAAGCAACTACTCTTATTGGATTGTTGCAAAAAATTAGTTCTAAGTTTAAGAAAGGTAGCACGGTTCTCCTTAGTCTCTTGATAAGCATTGATAACTCAACAGTTGTAGAATCTGCTATTTATATCCTATATTTTTTGTTTTGAAGCTTTCCGAGAGGTAATGGAGAGGAAAGCCTCTGCCCATCCCTTTGAGAATGTTCAATCGCTTTTGCCACCAAACACATGGCTAAGATCATATCCTATATCGGGTGAGTTAATACTGTATAAAAAGGCCCACATTCCTGCGCTCTGCACTGTAATTGGTTTTGGTTATTTTGGTATTCCAATATGTGCCTCATGATGCTATGGGTTTATGTCGCTGAGCTCTGATCTGAATTTTATGATATACAAGACCTCCTTAGTGATGGTGCCCGTCTTGGATCATCTGCATCTGAGTTTTGTCAGTATCGAAATCATGTTTGCACACCATTGAGAAGAATTTTTGTCTTGATATTTTTGTCAATGGAATATGAAATAAATTACATCATCGGAAGTTTGTCTTCAAAATTTCTTCCTGGACATGTACTTGTTTTACTTTTTTGTTTAATTATTTTTGAATTATTCTGCTTGTTGCGCTGTCGTGATTACAAATATGGGTTGATTAAAATATTAACTCGCCTTAAGATTTGATCAATAAGTTAAGGTCATTTAATATTAGTTGGCATTTCCTACTCATTCCCCACGGTGGTGTTAGAGTTTCGATGAACTCAAGAACTTGAGAATAACCTGATATAATATTCATTTTCTACTGTATCTGAGCTATGGGCTCTTGTATTTGACCCAGATCACAAGCGTGATGCAGCAAGAGCAGAGGAAGCTCTTACACTTTCCTATGGTAGTGAGCTGATTGGTATGCAAAGAGATTGGAATGAAGAATTGCAATCTTGCCGAGAATTCCCTCATACGAATCCCCAAGAGAGGTATGCAAAGATATTTGATGGCCACCAATTTTTTTAGGAGTCTAACAATTTGATGATAGACTGATAAAATTTCTGATTTGTATTTTTGTAATTTTTGTGGATTGCTTCATTCTATAGGGTTTTTCTTTGCAGAATTTTACGGGACAGGGCTCTCTACAAAGTATCCTCTGATTTTGTGGATGCAGCGATTAATGGTGCAATTGGTGTAATCAGCCGATGTATACCCCCCATAAATCCAACTGATCCAGAGTGCTTGCACATGTCAGTGCGAATTAATTGGCCTTCTATCTAGATTTCTTTCGTTAAGTCTTCCATTTGATCATTTTTAGCTCACTGGCCATTTGAATTTTTCATATAAAAAAACCCTCAATCAGCAGAATATAGAAAAATGGGATGACATATTGAATTGATTACATTTTCCAATCTTCATGCTTCAACTTTTATATCTTGAACACTTGCTGTTGTTCCAATGTTTTAGGTATGTCCACAACAATATCTTCTTCAGTTTTGCTGTCGATGCTGACATTGAACAGCTATCCAAGAAACGTTCAAATAATCTTTCAGTGACTGAGAAGTTATCCTCATCTGAAAAGGTTCTCTGGAAGGAGGGAACATGTGATGGAGGAGATAATGAAGAGATCAGTAGTTGTGTGGAGACACAGTTGGGCGAAAATGAGCAGGCGACGTATGCCTCCGCAAACAATGACTTGAAAGGCACCAAGTTATATCAAGAAGCTGATGTCCCAGGGCTATATAACCTCGCAATGGCCATTATTGACTATAGAGGTCATAGGGTGGTGGCTCAGGTTTGCACCAATACTGAAATTTCCACTTCTACTAGATACCGGGCTGTTTCTTTCTTGTGCAAACCTCAATAGCATTTCCCCTTGCATTATGTTTCATGTCTTGTAGAGTGTTTTACCTGGCATCCTTCAAGGTGATAAATCAGATGCTCTTTTGTATGGATCTGTCGATAATGGCAAGAAAATTTGCTGGAATGAAGATTTTCATGCCAAGGTGAATAAATTTTAACTGTTTTACAGTCGGATATCTGGTACTGATTCTTCTGTTCACAAGTTAACTGAAATGTATTTTATAAATTGGTTAACTGAGATGTAACGTTTAATTTACTTTTAGTATAATTTTCAAAAAAAAATTCAAAATTTTTACTATATAATTATTTACTCCTGATTTATTTCTGTTGTTAGGTGCTAGAGGCTGCAAAAGTTCTTCACATAAAGGAGCATACTGTTATTGACGCATCTGGAAATGTCTTCAAATTGGCTGCTCCGGTGGAGTGCAAGGGAATTGTTGGGAGTGATAATAGACATTATCTCTTGGACTTGATGAGAGCGACACCCCGTGATGCTAATTATGTTGGCCCAGGGTCACGATTTTGTGTCCTTAGACCAGAACTGATTAGTTCCTTTTGCCAGGTACATCTTGGATTTTCCTTAGAAGCTTATTCCATTTTGCTCTCCTGTAACAAGTTTTTATCAGATTCTTATTCCATGTAGTTTTCCATTTAACAACATTTTTCATTATGCAGACTGAAGCTGCAGAAAAATCAAAATGTAAAACCAAGGCTGATGAAGTTTCAGATGTTGGTGCTGATTCGTCTGAAGTCGGTGTTAATGATTCAATCGATTCAGAGGGGAATGGGGCTTTGGTTTGTGATCAGGTTGCTGTTTACTTTCCTTATCTTGTCAGGATGCATTAATTAAGCTCACAATGTTGATTGACTTTTAATTTTTAGGTCGACTTGTTATTGATATATTTGGTACTTATCAATCTGATTGATTTACGATGCCTTTTGATCCTCAAATTGGCTGTTATCTAATGCTTTTCATGTCATTTATCGTGCAATTTATTGGTTGCTGTGTCTTACTTTCTCTTTTACTGGTTAGGATGCATGCTTAGTGCATAAGCAGCACAGCCACGAGTGCCAAAATGGAATTATTCTTATGACAATGATGGATATGATTCTTGTTTTACTTCTATCTATAAATCTTTATTTATTGTTCATACACTTAGACTGTGTTATTCTGTCCTCTATTGTTTTTGCCTTGCACTCTTATTTCTTTCCTACCATGCTCACTGCAGTTGCCTAGACTTATCTGGTTGCAGCTCTTGTTGTCTTACAAGAGTTTATTTGGTGATATTTATTTCCATAGGAAACTGCTGAACAAAGGCAAAAGGATGCTGCCAATGATTCTGTACCTGCTGCTCCTATTTCTTCTGAAAGTTCTGAATCATGTGATCAAATAACTTTCAATCCTAATGTGTTTACTGAGTTCAGGTTGGGTGGCAACCAAGAGGTAGGCTGTTGGGTTTTGTTGCTTAGTTTGTTTGACCGCAGTTTCTTCCTTTTCTATTTATATTGCTAATTGGATCTTTATATTTTTTTTATTAACCAGGAGATAACTTCTGATGAAGAAAATGTGAGAAAAGTTAGTTCATACCTTGTGAATGTGGTGCTTCCTAAATTTATACAAGATCTTTGCACGCTTGAAGTTTCTCCTATGGATGGTCAGACTTTGACTGAAGCACTCCACGCTCATGGAGTTAATGTTCGTTACATTGGAAAAGTAAGCACGCTGTGTGTCATTATCATTTTTGTTTAGTGATCCACAATTCCGCATATCTTTACTTTTACCCTGTTTTCAATGATGATTGCACACTACCAGGTTGCTAACGGGACTAAGCATTTGCCTCATTTGTGGGATCTTTGTGTTAGTGAGATTATTGTCAGATCTGCGAAGCACATCCTCAAGGTAATTATAATTTTTGTAAAGCATCTTGACCACAGAAATGAATATGGCCAAACAAGGATGTTAGTCTCAGGGAACCGGTTCCTTGTAGGTTAACATCTGTAGCATTTTCAATATTTATGGATTTGATGTGCATTGGTTGCACTTTATTTTATTTTGTTATTGTTTTTAAATCTAAAGTTCATACATGGTTGTGCAGGGTGTTCTAAGAGATACTGAGGATCATGATGTTGGACCTGCAATCTCACATTTTCTCAATTGTTTCTTTGGCAACTGTCAAGCTGCTGCAAATAGTTTGCATGCCAAAAATCAAAAGAAGGTCCTTATTGAGTATCAGTGTTTTCTTTTAAAGTTTCCGTTTGTAAAATGTCTCATGAAGATCATATTCTTGATACATAGCATAAAACTGACACGCGAATTTTGGCAGGATCAATCCTTTGGTAAGAAAGGGCCAAACAGAGGGAAAGGAAAAGCTTATGCGAAGAAAAGTTTTTCTTCTTATATGATGGTCAGCTCTGACATGCTGTGGTCTGATATTCAAGAATTCGCCAAACACAAGTATCAGGTAATCTTGCTTTTGTATTCATTTTCTGAAGCCAAGAACTGGAATAAAGTAGAAGTTTTCTTTAGTCATTTGAAGAGTTGTGCTGCTTCTAGCCAGTTAAATGAGTTGCATACAGCTATGATGACCACCTGAATATAACATGAGGCTTGTTTCCAGTTTGAGTTGCCAGAGGATTCAAGAATTAGGGCGAAGACAATATCTGTTCTACGCAATCTTTGCCAAAAGGTATTTAGAGTGATCCTTTTTATTTCTGCCTCTCAGAACTATTATATCATGAATCCCTGATTATGCCAGTTAATTCTGGTTGTTAATTCCATGATTTTTTATCAACAGGTGGGCATCAGTGTTGCTACACGCAAGTATGATTTCAGTGCGGCCTTGCCATTTGAGACGTCAGATATCCTGGATCTCCGACCAGTAGTAAAGCATTCAGTCCCTGTATGTTCTGAGGCCAAAGATCTTGTCGAGATGGGGAAGGTCCAACTGGCTGAGGTAGCATTTCCCATTTGCATTAGCTGATGTGTTTGTATTTCACATAGGGCATAGCTTTGTTCTACTCTTTTGATACATCTAGATCAGTGAAATGAATGCCTGCCTCTTTGCTAGTTCCACCCAATTTGTTGTACTGGATGAGGTTCAGTGTCATTTCCAATTATCAACCCTTTTTCTTCTTGTTCCCAACAGTTCAAATCTTTTGCAGTTCCAGAGTTTTGATGATTTTTTTTTTCTGTAGGGTATGCTTAGTGAATCCTACACGCTTTTTTCGGAGGCCTTTTCAATACTTCAACAGGTTAGAGATCTGGTTTTTGTGTAGTGGACTACAAAATTGTTATGACATAAGGGTTCTCATCGTGTCCATCTGTTTCTAGGTAACTGGTCCAATGCACAGGGAAGTTGCCAACTGCTGTAGGTATGTTCCTCTTTCTGTTATTTGGAGATATGTACATCTCGTGGCGGAAAGGATTTCTGGAAGAACTGAGATATAAGGAATCATCGGATCCCTGCAAGGAATATCTACTTGTGGGTTGTTAGTTCTGCTGTTAGCTAGGAAGAACCTAGTTCTTGTGGGTCCATTTGACGTTGCTATTGATTGGAGATGTTTGAAAAATTGAAACATGTTAAGTGATTCATCATTGCCTAGTCATGGATGTGACCTGCCATTTCTTTTACCGGTTTATTTGTTTGCTGTGGAACTGCATAGACTCGGGTTTGATTTATTATGTTGTTGAAGCGTTCCAGTTTCAGGAAGAAGTTTCATGTTACTTGCGGGATTTTCAGGTATCTTGCCATGGTGTTGTACCATGCTGGAGATATGGCTGGGGCCATAATGCAGCAGCACAAAGAACTGATCATCAATGAGAACTGCCTTGGTTTGGACCATCCTGATACGGCTCACAGGTAAACAGTTCATTATTTTTTTGTGATGGAGTAACGTGATCTCTGGGGAACATTTTTGGACTTCTAGTTCTAGCATATGAGTAGCTTCAATTCTACAGTACCTGATATTCTCATATCCTAATTACTTGTGTAAACTAAGCATCCTGTCTGCTCATGTCCTTAGTTAACCTCGTAGCTTCATTTAACTCGTTCCTTTTAAAGTAAAACTGTCATCAGCTGATTTTGTGAACTCAATACTATAGACCTTATGCAATATGTTCTCTTTTTTGTCCTCACATATAATATATACCATAATTTACTGAAGTTTTGAACTGCAGCTATGGCAATATGGCTCTCTTCTACCATGGACTTAATCAGACTGAACTTGCTCTACGGCACATGGGCCGAGCTTTGTTACTCCTTGGCCTTTCATCTGGCCCTGACCATCCAGATGTTGCTGCAACATTTATAAATGTTGCCATGATGTACCAGGACATCGGGAAGATGGACACAGCTCTCCGTTATCTCCAAGAGGCCTTGAAGAAAAACGAGAGGCTTCTTGGCCCTGAACACATTCAAACTGCTGTATGCTATCATGCTCTTGCAATTGCATTTAATTGTATGGGGGCATTTAAGCTTTCACATCAGGTATCAAGGATTTTATCTCGAGAATCACCCTTACTTTTTGCATCCTTTGATTTAATTATTCTGTTCCTGTCATACACAGCATGAGAAGAAAACGTATGACATACTTGTGAAACAACTGGGCGAAGATGATTCTAGGACTCGGGACTCTCTGAACTGGATGAAGACATTTAAGATGCGGGAGCTTCAGGTTTGCTGCATGAACTAATGAAGGCTTATCTGTCCAAAATTTCCATGATTTATTCTGCATCTTTTCACTTTTCTGATTGGGATTTCACATCAGATGAATGCACAAAAGCAGAAAGGACAGGCTGTAAATGCAACCAATGCTCAGAAGGCTATTGATCTCTTGAAGGTGGCTTATCCTAACTCACTTTTTGCTAAAGCTCACGAATCTCAACATTGTCAAAAAAATATATGACCACACACATTGTATACGTTTATTGTCAAGTTCGTGTGGATCCTTTGGTTTCTTTGCCTCTGAATAGAGCTTCTGGAATACGGGTTACTTGTATTAGATAACCTGCAATTGTAACATGGAATTCTATTGTTCTCCTTTCTTGTTGGTGGCAGGCACATCCAGACTTGATACATGCATTCCAGGCTGCTGCTGCTGGGAACTCAAATGCTCCTGCAAACAAAACACTCAATGCAGCAGCTCTTCTTGGTGAGACTCTTCCTCGAGGTAGAGGTTTTGATGAACGAGCAGCTCGAGCAGCAGCTGAAGTTAGGAAGAAAGCAGCTGCACGGGGGCTTATGACTCGTCCCCATGGTGTTCCAGTTCAAGCTATGCCACCACTCTCGCAATTGCTCAATATTATCAACTCAGGGGTGACACCTGATGTAGTAGACAACAGCGGAGAAAATGGGGTTGCGAAGGCAGATGTCAATTCTTCTGAAAGTGAGCAATCAAATTTTATACAAGGCAGTCAGGGGCCTGCAGGATTAGGTGCTGGTTTATCGTCTTTGGATAGCAAGAAGCAAAAAGCCAAAAGTAAAGCTGCCGCTTGAAGCATTGTGCTTGAGATTAGTGCACTATTATAGCGCAGCTTTTGGATATGACTTCTGCTAAATCATTGCCTTAACAAGAGTTGTACGATAAGACTAATTTTCTTTTTTCTAATCTTTCTTTTTTCTTTTTTTCGCTTTCTACCTTGTTTGAGCGTGCATTAGCTTGTCGCCGGCCAAGAATTTGGTTTGGCGTAGCCTTTTAAACAACTGTTTTTGGCACAAGGATTTTGTGACATTTATGCCAGTGTTTTCGGGGAATATTCTCATCTCAATTGTAAAGATAAGGCGTCTTATCACCGCAATAAAGTTGGGTTTTTGTATTATGGTTCAAGAACCACTCGACTCCCCGTTCTGCATGGCCGCCGCCAGCCACTCAACACCTCATTTCAGCAGACCTGCTGTTCTTGACGTGCGTTGCACCACTATACCCCTGACTTCGTTATTTTCCTTTTCCGTTTTATAAAATTTAATTAATAAAAATGATAATTTATATACTAAAAATTAAAATTATGAATAACATAAAATTATATAATAAAAATATTAATTATTTAATGATGATAAAAATTATTTAATGATAATAAATAAATTTTGTAATGTTTTTTATTTATTAATGATAATAATAATTTTTTAAAAGCAATATATGAATTTAGTGTTTCTATCATAAATATAACTCATATCCAATTTTTAAAATAATCTTTAAATTTATTATTAATATATTGTGGAAATTATGAAATTAATTTAAAAATTCAATCTAAAGTTTGTTTTGATTTAATAACAAGTTAATGATAAAAATAATTTTTGAGGCATAATTAATATTTTATATTTATTTATTTATTTCATTAATAATGTATAGTAATTATGTTTAAAATATTTTTCAAAGAAATAAATGTCATTGAAAAGATTTTTTTTAAAAAATTTAGATTCATTTTATTTTTTATTATTATATATAGAGGAGTAACATCTATTTCGGTTGTACGTGTCGAGTGACTTAATACGTACCAATCACCAACTAAAGAAACTCTACGTCAAAGGCTTTCGCTTGACAGAGAGGAGAATATTTTGCATTGTACAGTTTACTTTCCATTGTGTGTGCTCTATCGATCGAAAATTGCCACATAAAATGCGGTGATATCTTTCCCTCCATACTTTATAAATAACAATCTGGAGTAGTAGTTTGGATATGGTCATCTTGTTTCGGGTTGTGTCATGTCCCGACCTGTTGATCCATTCTACAAATCTTGTGAGGTTCTAAGGAGGGTTTGGCCATAATAGTTCTCCGTAATGACACCAAAGTCGGGATGCATAGTTGCACTCAAAGAAGAGGTGATGGTAAGTTTTGACTACTGTGTCGTAGAAACTGCACTTTGTGTCCGTTGTTATTCTCCACCGTTCGGATATAACCCATTTGAGTTTGAAAAATTATTGGGTTGGATTGGATCAATCCAATTACAATTGTTAAATGGGTTGGACCAACCCATAAAATTCATAACCATCTAATTAACCCATTTAATTTTCATATATAATAAACTTATTATCATTTAAACATAATAATCATTGAGATATTTTTTTTATATTTACAGGTTTTAGTTATGGTATTACACATACAAAATATTGAATAAATAATATATAAATAAAAAAGAATAATATGTGAAAACTATATATATATATATATATATATATATACAGACATTTATTTATAAATATAAAATACGTGTATATTCCACACTAATCTTATTTCTCACTTAATTAGGTCCGATTCGATTCGGTTCTTATTGTCGTTCGAATTTTTGAATGATTCTATTTGAAAACGATACTGATTTTTCGGATATCGAGTTGCCAAATTTTTTCGTTACTGTTTTGTTTATAAACGGTAATGAGTTTTTGATTCAATTTGGAAACAATATCGATATTTTTTTGTTCAATTCGGTAATCGATTTTCCTATATCGGGTTTTTAAATTTTTTGGTATGGTTCGGTTCGAAAACAGTAATGAGTTTTTTTTGTTCGATTCGGAAACAATATCGATTTTTTCGATTCGATTCGAAAACGGTGCCGATTTTTCGCATATCGACTTTCTGAAATTTTCGTGCACGGTTCGAAAACGGTAACAATTTTTTTTTGTTCGATTCAAAAACGATATCGGTTTTTTTGGTTTGGTTAGTGAACTATATCGATCTTTGGATATCGGGTTTCTAAAATTTTGGTATTGTTCGATTCAAAACGGTCACGAGTTTTTCGGTTCAATTTGGTAATGATATCGATTTTTTTCGATTCGATTCGAAAACGGTACTGATTTTTCTGATTCGATTAAAAAACAATACCAATTTTTCGATCTAATATTAGATTTTTTTAATTCATATATATGTATATATATTCATATATAATTATATATTTTATGCATATATATACACGTATATATAATACTATTTATATATCTATATATAATAATTTTAGTTACTTATATAGGCTTAATGTTAATGTAAATGTTGATAACATAATAAGTTTTAATCCATTTAACACATGGACTGGGTTTACCTGAATAACCCGACCCATTTTGAGATATCTATCTCGGATAAACATAAACCCTAAACCCTAAACCCTAAATCCTAAACCCTGTTATAATCTGTCAAATCTAGGACCTAAAAACGATACCTTTGTTGTACCTCTCATCTTATACATGTGGTTTTGAATAGAAGTTTGGGCAATTCACAAGTGTGCCATGAAAATGTAATCTTAAGCAGGTCGATCAGGAGGACCTACCGTGAATATTTACATTAAAAGAAGTGGGAGCAGTGATGGCAGACAGTAGGACCAAATACTCAAGCATTGATCTCGCGAGAGAGGCTCTTTGGTAAACACAAGAGTACCTTATCACATGTTATCAACAGCCTTATTCCCATTGGAATACTCGTGGTATTTTGAGTATCATGAATCAGGCCTACACGTAAGGGGGAAAAGGGAGAAAAAGACAGGACTAGGACACCAGCTGAGATTGGTGGAGGATCCTTGTCCGCCATTAAAAGAATCAGATTTCTCTTGCCACTAGCTGCCTCCGATCTCCAGTCGGAAAGCCCGAAACAACACCGAAAGGAGATGTTGGGTCTCCACAAGCAAGGCCCATCTTAAAGGTCCGTTAATCTTTCTTGGAAAACTTTCCACTAAGGAGAGTTTGGGCCTCCACAAGCAAGGCCCATCGGCAAGGTCCGTTAATCTTTCTTAGAAAACTTGGAAATCGTCTTACTACTATCTTCGTACCGAAGATGGCCTGAAATCGCATAGCAGTTTGGGCCTTCACTGTGGAAATTCCGGAAACGCCCTTTTATAATACTGAATATTTTCCGGGTCCGAGGGCTTAGTGCTGTAAGCTGTCGATGAAACATGGGGTCCCGACCTAGATCTCGGTTCTGCGTCGTCGCCTTCGTCCTCCTCCTCCTTGTCTGTGGCGCCTGGGCGCAGAACCGGAGGCCAAAGAACGTCCAGGTCGCGGTTCGGGCAAAGTGGGAGGGCACTCCTCTTCTCCTGGAAGCTGGGTACGTATACGTCTGTTGAACACCATTTTTACTGCTTCACATTTCGTCTCTGAAATGAATCGAATGCCTATGTTGGTGACAGCGAGTTGCTTTCCAAAGAATCAAAGCATCTGTTCTGGGAGTTCACGGAGGTTTGGTTAGGTTCAGATGACGATGATTCCGATTGCAATTCGGCCAGAGACTGCCTCCTCAAGATATCTGAGCACGCGTCCTCTTTGCTGACTCCGTCCCTCACCTCTCTCTTTCGTTTCTCCCTTACTCTTAGATCCGCTTCGCCCAGGCTTGTGCTCTACCGTCAATTGGCCGACGATTCCCTCTCTTCTTTTCCCCTTTCCGATGACTCCTCCCTTTGCTGCTGGGTCGACATTGGATCCTCCCTGTTCTTCGATGAGTCGGATCTCCTATCCTGGCTTGCCTCTCCTCCGTACGCACATCTCCTTCTCTTTCTTTAATTTACCCTTTTTAAATCTTGCGCATTTCTTATGTGCCATCTTGTTACTGCCAGTGCTGCTGAAGACTCTGTTCAGGGGCCTGAACTCTTCGATTTCGATCACGTTCATTTGGATTCAAGGGCTCGAACCCCAGTTGGCATCCTCTATGGGGCCGTTGGAACCAGTTGCTTTAGGAAATTTCATGTCCTGCTTTCTCAAGCCGCTACAAAGGTCCCTCCCTTTTTCCCGTCCAACACCTAACGTAATCTGTTCTCGTTTCGGGAAACAAAGGCTTATGCTCTACTTCTTAGAAAATGGTGTATTGTTTCACTCTAGGAAGAGAGCTAGTTTCTGAAAATTTTATGTTTGGCCTATCTTAAGTTCAAAAATTACAACCAAGGTCCATAGTCTGAAGGAATCCACTTTTGTTTCTTTCTCTGTATCCATTTATATGTAGCCTTGGTGTCCTGCAGGGAAAAATTACATATGTTGTCAGGCCAGTGCTGCCTTCTGGTTGTGTAGGCAGAACCAGACGTTGTGGTGCCATTGGGGCCTGGGATAATGTAAGCTTAGCTGGTTATGGTGTGGAGCTTGCTTTGAAGAATATGGAGTACAAGGCTATGGATGATAGCACCATAAAGAAAGGTTAGATTACCATTCAATTCTTCCACCATAGTGTTCTTATAAGCAAAATGCTTACCCCTACTACTTAGAGGGTCTAATTTCTCACTGGAATCTGTCATTACAATTGTCTGTTGTCCCTTTCCCTCACCATTTCTTCCTTTTTGGGCCAATAGCTACAAGTGATTCTGTTTTTTTGCTTTGAGTTTCAGGTGTCACCCTTGAAGATCCTAGGACTGAAGATCTTAGTCAAGATGTTAGGGGGTTCATTTTCTCGAAAATTATGGTATGGGTTGCTCCCTAAATGACAGGAATAATAATCTGGACCATCTTCTTTCTGGAAAACTAGTGTGTCTGATTTACAAATGTGTGGATGAACTTTGTTTTTGTGTGTCTTTCTGTGTGGATGTGGCGTGGAAGTGAAATAAGAGAGGGTGATATGAGATAAATTGTACTGCGTTTTGTCGTTGACTTATCATTTTCTAATGATCATCTCTTCTTAAAACCTTGATTCATGCTCACAGTGAAGCGGTTGCTTGTCCAGTTGGGTTTGTTATCTGCAAATGCTAGACCAGAGTTTATTATTGATGTGCTTAAAGATGTGAGTAATGGTTATTGAAGTTACAGTTCCTGTGTGCAGGATAGGAAACCTGAGCTTAGATCTGAGATTATGGCTTTTAGGGATTATCTCCTATCATCAACAATATCCGACACTCTTGATGTTTGGGAACTGAAGGGTAGTTCTCCATTCCGTGTTCTTATCTTGATGATACTGGTATTAAAAAACATATTCTCAATTAATCTATGACCCCTGCAGATTTGGGACACCAAACTGCCCAGAGGATTGTACACGCCTCTGACCCCTTGCAATCTATGCAAGAAATTAATCAAAACTTTCCAAGTGTGGTTTCTTCTCTATCCCGCATGAAGGTATATATCATCCTATCTTCATTCAATGTATATCCTATGGTGCCGAATGAATTGTTTAGTTGTGCCCCTGAGTTAGATTATTTGGCTGGCTAAAAATACAGCTCAATGAATCAATCAAAGATGAGATACTTTCAAATCAGAGAATGATCCCTGCTGGCAAGTCGTTATTGGCTCTGAATGGTGCTCTGCTAAACATTGAAGATATGGACCTTTACATGTAAGACCCTTATGCATCTGTTGTCATTTTTACCTGGTGCATTCTGTTTCTCCAATTTGTCTTTTCTGCTTGATGTGCAGCTCTCTTGAGTAGGGATTAGGGAAAAGCTGAAAGTCTCATATTTCTTCTTACTTGCGACTTTCTAACCAAACATAGGATTCTGTGTTAAATTCCGTTTTAGTCCTTTGTGTGCGTTACCTTTCTTTTAGTGTTAAAATCTGTTTTAGTCCTTTTAATGACTATAACTTACACATCTTTGGCTATACTTCTTTCTACTGATTGCCTGATCCTTTTGTGTCTAGGCTGATGGATTTGGCCCATCAAGATTTGTCCTTGGCTCACGAGTTTTCAAAGCTTAAGGTACTCATTTGCATGGGCAAGCTATTTTAGACTACTTTATCGCGCCTTCCAGAGATGGCCAAGGCTTGAAAATTTGCATGATTACAGACTTCCAGTTTTACATAACTTACCTGTTTTTTTTTCCTGTTTGTGGTGTTTCAAAAAGGAAATATAAAAGTTATTAGTTCGTTTTCTTCGTTTGAGAAGCCGGATTATGATTATCCTTTAGTACATGGATGTGCTAACGTTTTACTAATATTCTCAGATCCCTGATGAAGCCATCCGGAAACTTCTACTAGCTAGCCCTCTTCCCGAGCCTGATTCTTATCGCATTGATTTTCGATCCATGCATGTTCATTATCTTAATAATTTGGAAGAGGATGCTATTTACCGGCGCTGGCGGAGTAATATTAATGAGGTTAGTGGTTGTCTTTGTTATTTAAGAATGGTCAGAATGATCTCTTACGAGCAAGATGTATTTGAGAAGTACTAAATCTAATGGCTTATCTTTCTCTCGCCTTGTAATAAAGATTTTAATGCCAGTCTTCCCTGGGCAACTACGTTATATCCGCAAGAACCTTTTCCATGCAGTTTATGTTATGGATCCCGCTACCGTCTGTGGTCTCGAGGCGAGTCCATTTCTGCCTCTTTTCCCCATTCTTGACTCTAGTTTACTTATTCATATGCCAGAGCTGTTGGACTAATCCTATTGTTGGATTCTTGCAGTCCGTTGACACTATCATATCATTATATGAAAACAAATTCCCTGTCAGATTTGGAGTAATATTATATTCTGAAAACTTAATCAAGAAGATCGAGAAGAATGGTGGTCAGATCCTCTCTTCTGATACAGTGAATGATGCCCATGTCAAAGAGGACTTATCTACTTTGGTATTTGCTGTCCCTAGTATTTAAGTTTTCTGTTCTTAGTGTAGAAACAGTTTTCCCATCTTTGAATTTGTTTCTGCCGTAAGAAGCTTATTATTTACAGTTCCATTGTCCTCTTCAGGACTGGTATGAAAGCATAATTTTCTTCACTGATGACAAAATTTCTTGCAGATTATACGTTTCTTTCTGTACATCAAGGAACACCATGGGATCCAATCAGCTTTTCAGTTTTTGGGAAATGTAAAGTTATTTACCAGTTAACTCAAATTTGCAACAAAAATTAGTGTGATCTGTCACAACTGTGTTGCTCGTCTGTTGTATTACCGTTGCCTTTACTTATTTTCCATTTCTATTGTTCATACATAATTTACGGAATATCTTCAATATGGGTGATAGGTAAATAGGTTAAGGACTGAATCTGCTGATCATGCCTATGATGATATAGAGCTGCAACATGTTGAAGGGGCTTTTGTGGAGACAATTTTGTACGTGCCACAGATGTTTACAAATATAATAATATCTTACGAAAAGCTAAATGTATTTTTTCTAGCTTCTTTCTGGAGTAATAGATATCTTCTGTATTGTTTTCCTGAGCTCTCTTGAAGTTTCAATTTTTCTTCTCCAGACCAAAGGTGAGATCCCCCCCTCAGGATATATTGTTGAGGCTGGAAAAAGAGCAAACTTTGAAGGAGGCGTCAGAAGAAAGCTCTCTGTTTGTGTTCAAGCTTGGTCTAGCCAAGCTAAGATGTTGCTTCTTGATGAATGGACTTGTCTTTGATTCTGTTGAGGTACTTCATTGTGAACATTTTGCTATTGCGTACAGAGAACTTTTGTTTTCGCTGCTGTGATCTACTTAAGTCAGATAAAACTTTGTATATGACGCTACCCTTTACCACTTCAGGAGGACTCTCTTATAAATGCCATGAATGATGAGCTTCCCAGGATACAAGAACAAGTTTATTACGGTCAGATAGACTCTGGCACTGATGTGTTGGACAAATTGCTTGCAGAAAATGCTGTTCATCGGTATAACCCACAGGTAGTGAGTTTTATATGCATTTTTTTAATTTACGTATTTGGTGTCATCAGAGATATCATTATTATTTGGATGAAGAGTTTGCATTCTTGTTTTTGGGTGAATTGTAGATAACCACAAATGGAAAGTCCAAGCCGAGGTATGTGTCTCTGGCATCCTCCTCTGGGAGAGGGGAATTTGTGCTGAATGATGTTACTTATTTGCATCCTCCAGAGAGTAAGTGGCATTGGTTTAAGATACTTGTACGCATTGCATTTACATAATTTTCTTATGTATCTTCATTCTTATATATTCCTCTGATCTGCCAATTCCAGCTTCAGATAATGTAAAGTACGTGACTCATCTTCTTGTCGTTGATGTTGCAACAAAGAAAGGAATCAAAATGCTGCATGAAGGAGTTCGATACCTGGTCATTTGATGAGATTAATGTCTTTCCCATATCTTTTATTACACTACGGTAATCTTGTTCCTATTATTAATGCTCTTGCGTTGTGTTTTAGATCGAAGGTTCTAAAGCTGCTCGTCTGGGGGTGTTATTTAGTAGCTATCAGAATGCTCACCCACATAGCCTTCTCTTTATAAAGGTTTTTAAAATAACTGCATCATCATTTAGGTACATGAGTTTTGTTTTACATATGATAATTCACTTTGAAATGTGTGCCTTGTGTAATTCCATTTGTAACTTAGCCGATCTGTGTGCAGTCGCAGGGGAAATGTGCTTGCCTTTCTAGACCAACTTTGCTTGTTATATGAGCATGAATCTCTCTTTAAAATTAAATCACCTACCGGAGTTGCTACTTCTCAAATGTTTATTGATAAAGTCATTGAGAATGCTGAGGCGTATGGGTTTTCTTCTAAAGCATATGAATCTTGTCTTCTGGAATCTTCAGATGAGAAGTTACTTGAGCATTTGATGAAGGTATGTTATACCTGAGATCCTCTTGTTGTGTCTGCTTATGTTTCAGATTGCTAAGGCTCTATTTTACACACGTGATTGCTTTGGAGGAATGAAAATGATACAATAAAGCCTCACTTGTTTCTCTAATACATGGAGTGATGTTTTTGTTAACAATTTTCATGCAGGTCAACCAGTTTTTGTCTTGGGATCTTGGGCTTGAATCTGATATGAACGCAATCATTACAAACGGAAGGGTATCTTAACCATTACTTACATGCGTTTCTTTAGTACAATTTAGTTTTTGTAGTTCCTGCTATTTGGCTCTTGCATATCAGTTCCGGTATGGTATTGAATTTTATCGACGTCCATAATATAATTATATTGAACTTAACAACGTATTGTTGTGTTATGGTAGGTAATATTTCCTGTGGATGAAAGGACATTCCTGAGCCATGATTTACAGCTTCTTGAGTTGGTCGAGTTGAGTCAAAGAATAAAGCATGTTCGAGAAATTATTGAGGGAGTGGAGTGGCGAACCATGGATCCTGATCTCCTTACCAGGTCTCTTGATTTCATGCTTTTTTCTTATTTGGCGTCCTTTCTTTTCACATGTGAGAATGAAGTTGGTTGAGGAGTGCAGCTTCAAAAACTGAGAATGTCGTTCTTAAATGTTTGTAGCTAAAAGGGAAATCTCAGTAGATGACGAATTTCTGTTTATGTTCTCAAAAAGTTCTTTCCATATCTTTTCTGAGTTTGTTTTTGGCAGAAAGACCTACCATACTGCTGAGAGGGTAAAAAAATATGTAACTCTCGTGAGTCCTGACTAATTGTCATAGTTGTTCCGGTTGTCCTGTCTGCTCTCCTAACTTTTTTGGGTGGCACGTCTTGTAGTTCTGTCATTTACTGTCATTGAAATTTGTACTTTATATTCAGTTCTCTGTGCCTCTGATTGTTGTTGGATGATATCCCTGTTCTTTACTGTCCAGATTTGTGGTTACAACCGTTTTTATTTTTTTCCTGAATGGTATAGGTTTTTCTTTTTTATTCCCCTCTTGAGCCCGATGCGTGTTTAACTCTTCTTCTGAGGAGAGATAATTCCATGTATGCTCTGAAAAACTGATGCAATATGGTTCTACCTTATGCTACACCTGCAGTGAATTCTTAAGTGATGTCTTCATGTTTGTGTCATCTGCAATGGCAACACGGGACCGTGGTTCCGAAAGTGCCCGGTTTGAGATTCTGAATTCGCAATACAGGCATTTTTCTTTCTCTTATGTCCTTTTTGTTTCTGTACAAGCTTCCCTCCAGTTTTTTTATTTAGCAATACTTGACTTTATTGCATGTGAATCTGTTAGCTACTTTTTTTTTCATTTTGTTGGCCAATTTATGGATACACTGCTAAGATTTCCCTGCATTTTGTAGTGCTGTTGTTATGGGGAATGAAACTGCAACCATACACATTGATGCTGTTATTGATCCTTTAAGCCCTGTTGGTCAGAAGCTAGCATCTCTTCTTCGAGTTTTGGGGAAACATGTTGAGACAAGCATGAGGATCATTCTGAATCCAGTGGTGAGTACGACATCTGGAGTTCATTTAACTTATTTATATGGCACGTAAAGCTTCTCAGATACATTTAACAGTTTGAACCAATTTAATGCTCGAATGGCTTAGGTCTTGAATGAAAGGGTTTCTTCTTTTCGGGGTTTTTTTTGGCTTTTCGCATGTATATTTTTTTGTTTTGGGATTTTGGCTTTTAAATGAAAGAGTCTATGGGTTTTTGTACCTCTTTGTAAAGTTGTCAGTTAAAAACTGGCTCTCCTTGCTTGTTTAGAGGAAAAGCTTAAAAAAAGCTCTTTTTCTGGTTTTTAGGGTTTTTGGCTTTTCAAATCTCTAAAAGCTCATGCTAGTCCAGACCTTATTGTTCTGTTTTTCTGTAAATCTAATCTTGGGTTCTAGTTCATGGTTGCTGTTTCTCAAGTTAGTTTTGGGTATTTTCCCGTGTTTCCTGTTTCGCATTTGAGGATATTATTGTTTAGTTAGTAAAAATGAACAATATTATTATCCATAGGTTCTGACATAATCTATTTGCAGAGTTCGCTTGCGGACATTCCTTTGAAGAATTACTACAGATATGTTTTACCAAACATGGTATGTTTTTTATTGAGAAGTTACCAGTCCACATTGCTCGAATACTTTATTAGTTATGCTATGTTTTTTGCAGGATGATTTCAGCAGTACAGGCTTCGTTGTAAATGGTCCCAGGGCATTTTTCGCAAATATGCCATTATCCAAGACACTTACCATGAATCTCGATGTTCCAGAGCCATGGCTTGTTGAACCAGTAATTGCCATGTATGAGATTTTCCATCAAATGAGTGAACTTGGCTAAGCTGCTTTAGTTGGCCTTAAATTTTTCCCTTGCTTAAAAAAACATTTGCATCTTTAATTTAGTTGTTTTAGTGCCTGAGTTTGACATTCTGTATCCTCTTTCTTTCGGTTTTTTTTCCTTGATCAGTCATGACCTCGATAATATTTTGCTTGAGAACATGGGAGAGTCTACAACACTGCAAGCAGTTTTTGAGCTTGATGCTCTTGTTCTTACTGGTTAGCTTCTGTTGTACTTGTTTCTTTGTCTTGGAAGAGTTTGTTCAGTTTTATATTAACATAGACATTGCACAGGTCATTGCTCAGAGAAGGATCACGAGCCTCCTCGTGGTCTGCAGCTGATTCTGGGAACCAAGAGTAGACCTCATTTGGTAGATACTCTTGTCATGGCCAATTTAGGTTATTGGCAGATGAAAGTCTCCCCAGGGGTTTGGTATTTGCAACTTGCTCCGGGTCGAAGTTCAGAGCTCTATATCTTGAATGGCGACCATGATGAAGGCCAAGATCAATTTCTGTCCAAACGTATTACCATAGATGATTTGCGTGGTAAAGTTGTTCATTTGGAAGTAGTAAAAAAGAAAGGCAAGGAGCAGGAAAAGCTGCTTGTTTCTTCAGATGGCGAGAATGGTGTACAGCAAAAGGAAGTGAGTGCTCTGCATAAGTAGAATATGTTCGTGAGAAAAAGGTATTCCTCGAAAATACTTCTAATTTGTTCTCTCTGCATGTCCCCTTGATTAGCGAGAAAGCTGGAATTCGAACTTCTTAAAGTGGGCGTCTGGTTTCATCGGAGGTGGTGAACAATCAACAAAGGGAGATAACAAGAAAGTGAGTGCTTATTTACTCTGGTCGAATATGTGAACAAAAAAGTTACTTGTTTCCCTCTTGTATTCTATAGTCGTAGTGCAAAGCTCATTTGAGTGGACAGTTGCCGTTATTTATATACTTTGATCCTGGCAGTTATATATAATCATTATCCGGGATGGCATTGATGCATTGCAGTTATGCGTTGTTTTGAGCTGTTAATCATTGTCTCAAGACTCTCAACAGTCTGAATCCTGTTATTTCTGTTTTTTCATCCTTTCAGGAGCTTGGGAAGGGCGAGCGTCAAGGGAAATCAATTAATATATTCTCCATTGCTTCAGGGCACTTGTAAGTACAAAAGTCCTTTTCTAATACAGTGGCCACAGACTTTGACATGGTATAATTGAGTATTTGAGTTGGTTTACTTTGTTTTCTTTTCTTGAGTATTTGTTGAAGCAACTGATATCTAGAATGCAAATCTGTTGACCTATTGTGTTAGGGAGACGTTTTCCATACGCAATCAGTGTTAGAGCATTATGCATATGGAAAAGTGAAGTGTCCTCAGGACACTGTCCTGTTCCATATCTCTGTATTCAAATGCCCAACAATTTGCAAAAGAAGTGCAAGTTCATCCTGTGAACTTATACGTTGTATTATATGCAATGCAACTGGGATCATTTCCTATCTAACGCCGAGGTGTTACTACTGTCTTATGACAGATATGAGCGTTTCCTCAAGATCATGATTCTAAGTGTCCTGAAGAACACCAAGCGCCCTGTGAAATTCTGGTTTATAAAGAACTATCTTTCTCCTCAATTTAAGGTTGTACCATCTCTCTCTCTCTCTTTCTATGAACATGTTTGCATGTGACTGTCTTTGACTCTCTGGATGCACCGAACTTATTGTGCATTACATCTTATGCCTTGCAGGATGTTATTCCACATATGGCACAAGAATATGACTTTGAGTATGAGCTGATTACTTACAAATGGCCTTCTTGGTTGCATAAACAGAAAGAAAAACAGAGAATCATTTGGGCCTACAAAATATTATTTCTTGATGTTATATTTCCTCTCTCGCTGGAGAAGGTATGAATGTTAATTAATATCTTATCTATATTTTCTGCGAGTTTATGCTAGGAGCCTAGGACAACACGACTATAAGACCTTCTATGTGTTTTCTGTAGGTTATATTTGTTGATGCAGATCAAGTTGTAAGGGCAGACATGGCAGAACTATACGACATGGATATAAAAGGAAAACCTCTTGCATACACTCCCTTTTGTGACAACAACAAGGAAATGGATGGCTATCGGTTTTGGAGACAGGTATGTAATAGTCTGTTTGACTGTGTAAAAGGCACATTGTTTCCTTATGACTGTCTTACATTCTGAACTGTTGGAACAGGGTTTCTGGAAAGAACATTTACGTGGTAAACCATACCATATCAGGTAGACAAACAAGTATCTACCGTACCTTTATAATTTATTGCTCTTATCAGGCTTGACACGTCTTGATCTTTCCGTAGTGCACTGTACGTTGTTGACTTAGTTAAATTTCGTGAGACGGCAGCAGGAGATAATCTAAGAGTATTCTATGAGACTCTTAGCAAGGATCCAAACAGTCTATCCAATCTGGATCAGGCAAGCTATTGTATATAGTTATCTACATCTGTATTTTGTTCGTTTGGTTTCTTTAAAGAACGCACTCAGTTCTTGCTGTGTTGGAAAGCTTCAGCATGTGGTCAATTTGTTTCGTAACTATTTAAACCCAGCAATTGGAAAAATACACTTAACTAGGTCTCATGAAGACAAATTTGCTTCTCATTACCATATTTTACATCACTTTCAAAAGCTTGTAAAAGACTCCGCATATCTTTTGTGGGCCATTTGGTGCATAAAGCATTCTCTTGGAGCTCTCTTCTTTTTTTTTTGATGGTGCTTCCAGCTTTACTGTCTTATGAATTACTGGTGTTATCCCTCCTATTCCTCTTCTTGAACTCAGCTCCAATTTTTTCATGATATGGTATTTTATCTGTTTCAGGATCTTCCTAATTATGCTCAGCATACTGTTCCCATATTTTCACTTCCCCAAGAGTGGTTATGGTGTGAGTCTTGGTGCGGTAATGCTTCTAAACCCAAAGCCAAAACCATTGATCTTTGCAATAATCCAATGACAAAGGAGCCAAAGCTTCAGGTAAAAATTTTGCTTTCTAACTTCTGTTTCTCCGAACAACATTCTCTTGGAACGTTGATCAGTTATGCAAAAAGGGGAAAGATGGAACCATGTTTTTTGTCTACTATGCCATTTTAGGTTCTACGGCATCTGTTTAGAAAATGTATTATCCTTGTATCCATTGAGCTATTGCAAGATAATGTGTTCTTCTGCAGGGTGCCAGAAGGATTGTTTCTGAATGGTCGGGTCTTGATCTAGAGGCACGGAGATTCACAGCAAAAATCTTGGGTGAAGATATGGAGCTCAATGAGCTATTAGCAACCACTGACAAGCGTAATCATCCTTCAAGCGATGTTTCATCGAAACAAGACCTGGAATCTAAGGCTGAACTATAACGTAGATGCTTGAAGTTGAGAAGAAAAGAACACTCCTTGCTGAAGTAGCTGCTTAAGGATTTACTTCTTGAGTTGTAGTTTCTGGAGATGTTATAAACAAATTAAGCAGAAGGTAAGACGACACTACATTTTAGCAAAATCGAGTTTTTGAGACTTTATGTCCAGCAAATCATGATTCTTACATAATTGTTAACATTATTAACTGTACCTTTACTGTTACTTTTGGGGAAATCTCTTTTAGTTAACCGCAATTTGCTACTGTATCCTTCTCTTTTTGGTACCCTTCAACTGTTTTTACCCATCGGAAGATGGCTATAGTCTTGCCGCTCGTCCCCCTTGCTGAAGCACTTTGTTGACTGGAATCTAGATTATCGAAGCTACTGTTTAGGTTTAGGATTAGCGGTTTATTGGTATTGCATTTTCAAGGCAGGGTATTTATGGAGAATGTGACAACTGTTCTTGTATCAAAATTGGAGGGATTGTAAGATATTATTGAAAGGGCATATGAATGATGACATGTTTCTGAGACAAATATGAACGAAGAAAACTCGAAATCTTACATAGTTCTTTAGTTGTGGAGTAGGATAGGGAGTTAGGGATGAAACGAAATGTATTGAATAATGACTCAAGTCTCATTCTTGGGCTCGTTTCCATACTTACAAACTCAAACAAATTGAAGGAGCATTACAAACTCCAACAAATTGTTATGGTTATATCTTTCAATATTACAACATTTTTAGTTGTCTATCTCCATTTAAGTTTTGTGAATCTTGCATATTGTTAAATAAGCTCAAAGTATCAACAAATCACTTTCATCATTGGAAGATATTATTAGTGCTTTATCTTGCAATCAACATATTCTCCATATAAGAATCAAAAGCTAACAATGTTGATATGTGATTTTATCTTTAATGCTAAAATATTGATGTTTGTCAATGTGTGTCCAACTGAATCAAATTTGGAGGAGATATACAATTGTATTGTGTAAGTAAGATCTTTGTCTCATATATATATATATATATAGTATTTGATAATTCCTATTTTATTCTATATTTTTATGAGAGTTTGTCCAAGTTTTGCACGATAATCATATGCATTCATAGGTATTCTAGACACTATAGGACACAAAACTCGGTTTTGCTTTAGTTTTGCAAATTCCAGATTTCGGAGATGATAGCACTTTTAGACCTTTAGAGATGAAGTTCAGAAGAGACATGCATTATGAACTCAATAACTTTCTCCACAAAAATCCAAATAATGTGTGGTTTATACAATTGGAAAGAGCATTTAAATAGCTTCGCATCGACGTCAAAATCACTCAAATCCGACATCGTAAGTACATATATATTTATATGTATATGTGTGTATGATATATATGTATGTATATGTATGTGTATATATATATATGTATATGCGTATGTATATATATTAATGTTTAAGGGTATAAACCTTTTGGATGTTTCGTGGTTTTTATTTTAAAAACATTTATTTTTTTTTTAAAAATAGTTTTTTCGGAATTTTGAAATTCATTTCGATTCTATAAAATTCGGTTGGAATTTTTATCAATTCAAAACAGTTCATTCCAAGAAATCGAACCCAAACACCTGCCCTAACGCGTATAAACATATATTATATATATATATATATGTATTAGTGTTTATAATGTGTATATTTATATGTGTACTTGTGTATGATATATATATATGTCTATATATATGTATATGTGTAAATATATGTATATGTATTTTTAGTTTTAAACTTTTAATTTTTAATTGTTAATTTTTAATTTTATAAACTTTTAAATTTTTTAATTTTAAATTTCATTTTTTTTTAATTTTTTTTTTAATTTTTTTTAATTTTTTTTAATTTTTTTTTAATTTTTTTTAATTTTTTTTAATTTTTTTTAATTTTTTTTTAATTTTTTTTAATTTTTTTTAATTTTTTTTAATTTTTTTTTAATTTTTTTTAATTTTTTTTAATTTTTTTTAATTTTTTTTTAATTTTTTCCTCCGCCGCCGCTCCTTCGCCGCCGCCAGGTAAATTTCTGAACTCGCATCTCCCATCTTCTTCCCCTTTTCGATCGGTTTAGTTTAGGTTCGTTGTATTTTTTGCTTTCGAATCGAGGCCCCATAACCGCGCCGTCGTCCCCCACCGACACCGCCGCATCACCGCCGCCGCTCCTTCGCCGTCACCGAGGTATGTTTCAAATTTTTGCAGAAAAAATTTCCAATTGTTTCGATTTTTAGGTGTTTTTGGTTCGGATTTAAGGTTGTGGGCGAATTATTTTAGGGTTTAGAGTTAATTTTCGGGTTTAGGGTTTAATTTGGGGTTTATTTCGGGTTTAGGGTTTAATTTGGGGTTTATTTAGGGTTTAGCGTTTAATTTGGGGTTTATTTCGGGTTTAGGGTTTAATTTGGGGTTTTTGATTTTATGGTTTTTGGTTTTAGGGTTTTTTTAGGGTTTAGGGTTAATTTAGGGTTTAGGGTTAGTTTTCGGGTTTAGGATTTAATTTGGGGTTTATTTAGGGTTTAGGGTTTAATTTGGGGTTTATTTCGGGTTTAGGGTTTAATTTGGGGTTTATTTAGGGTTTAGCGTTTAATTTGGGGTTTATTTAGTGTTTAGGGTTTAATTTGTGGTTTTTGATTTTATGGTTTTTGGTTTTAGGGTTTTTTTAGGGTTTAGGGTTAAATTTAGGGTTTAGGATTTGTTTAGGGTTATTTTAGGGTTTATGGTTTATTTAGGGTTTAGGGTTTAGGGTTTAGGGTTTAGGGTTTTAGGGTTTAGGGTTTAGGGTTTAGGGTTTAGGGTTTAGGGTTTAGGGTTTAGGGTTTAGCCATTTTTTTTTTTTTTTTTTTTTTTTTTTTTTTTTATAAAAAAAAGCCTTCTGTTTGATTACGGGAGCTGGTTCCCACTTTTATGATCACTGTTTGTTGAAAGCGAAATAAAATCTTCTCGATAGCTACGGTTAGAGATTTGTGTAAAATTTGGTGCATGACGTGACCGTGATTGGATTTTGCGCCCTCTCTCGCACTCCCCTTGGATCCTGTTGTATTTCCTTCTAATCCTCCTTTTCAAATTGTCGTGCGTGCGTCTGTGTACTCTTCTTGTCGGAAACTTTCATGGTCTCTGTCTGTTTCGAGTTTTTTCCTAGAGCTGTTGCCTGTGGGATCAAGTTTCTATGGAGCGGTACGAAGTTCTGGAGCAGATTGGGAAAGGGTCCTTCGGTTCTGCTCTTCTCGTCCGACACAAACATGAACGAAAGAAGTGAGTACACTGCGTTAACTATGCATTTGTCTCCTGGGATTGCATCTTACTGATTGTTGTTCTCTCTCTCTCTCTCTTACAGATACGTCTTGAAAAAGATTCGTCTGGCTCGCCAGTCTGATAGGGCTCGCCGTTCTGCTCATCAGGAGGTTGGTGTGTTGGTCTTAGATTGTAAAGTTTTTTTTTTTTGTTAAAGGTAAATTATGTTAATGTGTAAAACAGTTATTTACCAAGCAGGGTTTACAACAGGAGCCTTAGTTTAATATCAGATTGTCAAATTTAATCTCTGTTTAAGACGTAGTTTCCTGGATTCATTTGTATTCTGTTTCAGATGGAGCTCATTTCTAGAGTTTGCAATCCGTTTATAGTAGAGTACAAAGATTCATGGGTGGAAAAGGTCTGGTCTGATGTTCTCCCCCCTACATGGACTCGCAGTATTTTCTGAGATCAACTTTCTTACTTTGTTTGTGCTTGGCTGCTTTGTGCAGGGTTCCTGTGTGTGCATTGTTATTGGATACTGCGAAGGCGGAGACATGTAAGACGTTTCCTTTTGGCGTTTGAGTTTGACAGCCTCTGTTGTGTTAACCAAGTTTAATCTTGCAGGACAGAAGCCATAAAAAGAGCCTGCGGAGTCTATTTTCCTGAAGAGGTATCTCTCAAAAATTTTAAAATGATCAACTCAACTGAGTTTTGTTGGTTTGAGTATTGGTTTCTTCAGGAGATAGTATAAGATGGTCAGTGTAGACTGTATATGATGCATAGATAGCCATTGGGTACACATAGGCTTTTACCATTTCAGTCAACAGAATTTGCTCTGGGTAATTCATTTCATGCTCGATCGAACTCAATGCTTGACTGGGCTACAGCCATTTGGCCTAAACTTATCATTGAACGTCACACGCAGAAACTCTGCAAATGGCTTGTACAACTCTTAATGGCACTCGATTATCTGCATTCCAATCATATCCTTCACCGTGATGTCAAGGTACAGTATATAACCTCAAATACCTAGAGCTCAAGTCTTTGTCTGAGACCTCTTTAGGCCACATGTTTGGTTGACAGTGTCTTACTATCTTTTTCAGTGTTCTAACATATTCTTGACAAAAGATCAAGACATACGGCTTGGTAAGTTCCTAGATAGGTTTGTTTCTGTAATGTGTCGATATCGAAGTTTCGTGGAGAAAATTATTAACATGCACCGCATCTGGCTTAGGTGACTTTGGACTTGCTAAGGTTCTAACTTCTGATGATCTGACATCCTCTGTAAGTTTTAATCAGTTCCAGTTCAGTAACAGTTCTTGTTCTTGTGCTTATACTCGGTTATGATGACTCTCTGTGTTTGCAGATTGTGGGGACTCCCAGTTACATGTGCCCCGAGCTTCTTGCTGACATACCCTATGGATCAAAGTCAGACATTTGGTCTCTCGGTAAAATATGGTTCCTGGAATTCATAGATTTTTTCTTATTGCACTGCGGATTTTCAGCTTGTGATAAAGCTTTTGAGATCCTTTAATGAGCAGGATGCTGCATGTATGAGATGGCTGCTCATAAACCAGCATTCAGAGCCTCTGTAAGTTGCTAATAACTCATCTCATTTTGGCCAATTGTGAAAATATCAAATGTTTCAGAAATTATGGATGTAATTTTGGAATTGCCAGTTGAGTCAATACTTGATTATGGCATTCTATTTCAGCATCATGGATGAGAGAACTTTGTACCAATTGAAATGATACCTTCTAATATATTGGTTCATATATTTATTTTTTTTTGGGTTTTGTTCATCATAACATAAACCAAGAAAACACAACATAATACCCAAAATTCTAGTAACTATATTTTTTAACTTGCAGGATGTGCAGACATTGGTTAGCAAAATAAACAAGTCGATGATGGATCCTATTCCTGCCATGTATTCCGGTGCATTGTAAGTCATTCTCTTCTATTACGTTAATCGTTCCCGAGCTCTCTGTTCAACTCAATTTTTTTTCCTGTGGTTATATTCAGCCGAGGTCTCCTTAAGAGCATGCTGAGGAAAAACCCTGAACTCAGGCCAAGCGTATGTTTTCTTGATGCTTGTCTGTGTTTGAACTGAGATGCGTTGGTGAAGTCCAGAATAAAAACCATTATCTTTCTTACAAGACTGTGGTGTATATATATATATATGACAGGCTGCCGTGTTGCTAAATCATCCTCATCTTCAACCTTACATCAGTATGATTCATCTCAAGTTACATAGCCCCAGACGAAGCACTTTTCCTCTCCAGTGGCCTGATACCGCCATTGGGGTCAACAGAAGGAGGCGTTCCTTCAGCAACGACACACATTTGAAACCAACCTTCTCTGAAACAGAGACGCGTTCCGGGTCTTCTTCAGAAATAACATCTCATTCACCGATATCTCACGCTAGAAAAGCCTCCCAAATAACTGTTGGAACAGTCCATGAAGAGTCTGTGGCTGATAAGCCGGCGGTGAAGGACAGAACGCCGAGAGTAAATTCTGCCACAACAAAAGCATCTGGCACTCCAAGGAAACTCGAAATCCCATTATCCACACCTCGTACTGTTTTGAAACATGAACTGGTAAGTCAGAGTAGCAGCCTTGAAATCCCATCCATCATTACACCACAGAAAGAGTGCTATGTTTACGCTGATACTGTTGCTTGCAGGTGAAGGTGTCAAACACTCCATCAAGAAAATCTTGGCATAACAGGAGGAGGAGAGCATCTCTTCCATTAGTCACCGAACCCACTTACGAGTCAAGTCTCACCCGTCTATGCGGTCTTAATTCTCCAGACGTTTCCGTGAATGCCCCAAGAATCGATAAGATGGCTGAGTTCCCGGAAGATCTCTTCCCCATCAACGAGATAACCCCAAGACAACAAGCTTCGTCTCCTCCTACTGACCGTTCAATCACAGAGGACAAGTGTATGGTGCAGATAAGGTCGAGTTCTGAGCCAAGGCAGAGGAGGTTCGACACATCTTCATATCAGCAGCGGGCAGAGGCTCTCGAGGGATTGCTGGAGTTCAGCGCTAGGCTTCTGCAGCAAGAAAGGTATGAAGAGCTCGGTGTTCTTCTTAAACCCTTTGGACCGGAGAGGGTTTCTCCGAGGGAGACTGCCATCTGGTTGACCAAGAGCTTCAAAGAAGCTGCCGTGTAATTCAAGCAACAAACGCCTTGTTTGCTTTGCCCTGCATTTCTCTTGTGTAAATATGAAATGGAGACGCGGTTGATCCCCCAGTGTTTAAAACGGCATGCTGGTGAAGAACGACGGATCTACCTTATGAATCACCACTATCAAATAATATCAGTTAGAACATGATCTAATGATGCTTTTCGATAGGGATCCTACGAAATTTTCCCCAACACAACTTACAATTTCAAACTTCGTAAGATTTCGTATTCGCCGAAAATATAGGGGTCAGTTTGAAATGAATCGTCAAAAGCGGGGTCGTCTTGTAATTGCCTAAACCGATGCAGCCTTTGCGAAGAACCTGGTTTACGAGAGCAGGAAAAGCAGCAGAGACAGCGATTGACGGGGAAGACATGGAAGAAGCAGAGATCCTTGAACTCTACGAACTGTCATACATGGATCTTGTGCTCTTGTCTCATCCTGAAAAGGCTTTGTCTTCGTCTTCCCCCGGAGACCGAAAGAAGCATCAATTGATCTCGAGAGACGTATTGGAAGCCCTAGGCCCAACCGGCCCAGGCCTTCTCTGCATCACCGGCGTCCCTCGCGCTGCCGTCCTCCGCCACCGACTCCTCCCGCTTGCTCGGAAACTTGCTCTTCTCGACCCTGACACGAGGAAACGCATTCTCAAGGTTTAATTTCTCCTCTGCTAGACATTCCCTATGATAGAATGCTGCGTTTTGATGTAGTTACTGGTGCTGCAACTGTGTGATCGAAGTGATTATGGTAGTTTCCTGGGTTTCGTATTTCATATGTTCATGTCTTGAGTTGTCGGGTTGCTCTTCTGTTCCCCTGATAATGTTCGTTCATTCTATTGAATTGAATAAAGGAGCATCACCTGGGGAGTGATGTTCCTCTGAAGAACCCGGACAGAAATGTGTCGTCATTTTCAGCGCAGCTCAAGTATGCGCAGAGTTCTGACAAATTCTGCCATGAGGTTTCGACAAACCCTGATTTGCAGGAGGATGAGTTCACGAATCTGGAAGGTGCGTTTAAGGAGTTAGGATTTTGCATGATGGAAATGGGGTTGTGTATAGCTCGTGTATGCGATGGGGAGATTGGGGGAAGAGAGCTTGAGGACAGCTTGCTGGAGTCCTGCACTGCGAAAGGGCGTCTCATACATTACCACTCAGCTGCCGATAAACTTCTTCTTCGAGATGCATTGAGGAGAACTCGATCGATGAGACAGAAGATGTCCAGAAAGCATGAGGGGATTTACTTGGACCTGTGGCAACAGTGGCATTACGATTATGGGATCTTTACAGTGCTCACGGATCCTATGTTTCTTTCATCTTCGTCCTTGTCTAAAGCAGGGGCAGTTCAATGCGGCCACACATACCTGAAGATCTATCATCCAAGCGAGAACAAGGTCTACCTGGTGAAGTCTCCTCCTCCGGACAGTTTTATAGTTCAGGTCGGAGAATCTGCCGATGTTTTATCCAAGGGGAAGCTACGGTCAACCCTTCACTGCGTCTGTAGACCAGAGAAGCTGGATCATGTTAGCCGGGAAACCTTTGCTGTGTTCCTGCAGCCCTCATGGAGCAAAACCTTCTCCTATTCCGATTATGTGATGGATCATATAAAGTTGGACTCTCAGCTAAAAGCGTCGGATTTGCGTCGGGAGATACAGAAAATTGTGCCACCGCTCTCATCTCGTTTGAAAGACGGAATGACATTTGCCGAGTTTGCTCGCCAAACTACGAAGCAGTACTACGGCGGCAGTGGCTTGCAATCTAGTAAGTGACAGTGCCAACTGCTGTAAACACAATCTTTTCGTTTTAGCACTTTGGAAATCAGTCTAATCTGTAAGTTTTCCATCACCCACACGTTACCTTCCTTTACCACTAGATTCTTCTGAAAACATGCCTTCCTTTACCACTAGATTCTTCTGAAAACATGTTTCTATTGATTTTGTTATTAAAACAGCATAATGCAGACGAGGTTGGCCGTGAAGAGCTCCGTACGATTTGGAATACTTCCAAGATTAGAAGATAAGACGGCGCACTCGGACCAACCAAAAAGCCAAGCCTCCAATGCTTTAAACGTGTCAATATGTATATCTTGATGGATCGATTTTTGTATATACATTGGAGGATGTATTCGGCAAATAAAAGTAGTTATAATATATTGGAATACGAAACTACGACTTTCTTATAAGCCGATTATTTATAACATTATTGTGGATGTGTTAATTAATCAAATAAAATTTTAGGGTTTTCGTGATCTAGTGCCAAAAACATTAATAAGATTAATATTTCCGCGTTTTGCATGAATGAATTTAAGTGGAAAAATAGTAGTAGAACACAAACACCACCCTACAGGCATAGAAACACGTCTCCTTGATAATGATCCTTTGTTTCGTTACTTCTTATATAACTTAATATATTTATATACAATTCTTATAGAAAGATTAATGATTACGTATTTGCCATGGCTGAATACTAACGTTATTACGCCGTCTCTCTGGTTTATTGTTTACCCTTTTCATCACGTGACAATATAATACGAGTGTGGAAACTTTATAAATTAAAACAGAGGCAACTCTCGAGAGACACGGAAACACACACAAAGATAAAGAGAGATAGAATGGGCGAGGAGAGTGAGAGGTTGGGGTCTTCGGCATTCGAGCCAGGCAGCCTCCCGACCACGGTGATAAAGGCAGATCCGTCGCGGGAAGACCCAGTCTCGCCACCGAAGCCGGTGATGATCGTTGCTCCGACGGTCGCCGGAACTTACCCCGTCGTCTTCTTCTTCCACGGCTTCTATCTCCGCAACTACTTCTACTCCGATGTCCTTTCCCACGTCGCTTCTCATGGTTTCATTCTCGTCGCTCCCCAGGTGTGTGTTTTATTTCTTTCCTTTTTCCTCTTAAAAAAGGCAAAACAGAAAACAGACTATAACGACGTCGCAGCTGTGCAAGCTGTTGCCGCCGGGAGGGCAGGTGGAAGTGGATGATGCCGGAAAAGTGATAAACTGGGCGCCCAAGTACCTTAAGAGTCTGCTCCCGGGGTCGGTGAAGCCGAGCGGCGAAGACACCTCCCTCGTCGGCCACAGTCGCGGCGGTAAAACCGCGTTTGCGGTTGCGTTAGGGCACGCCAGCACTCTGGACCCGTCCACAAAGTTCTCGGCCCTTGTGGGAATCGATCCGGTGGCTGGAAGCAACGTGTGCATGAGGACACAGCCGCATATACTGACCTACGAACCGGAGTCGTTCGAGCTGGACATGCCGGTGGCGGTGGTGGGGACGGGATTGGGCCCACTCTGGAAGACAAAGCCGCCGTCGCCGCCGTGTGCGCCGGACGGAGTGAACCACAAGGAGTTCTTCAACGAGTGCAGGCCAACACGTGCGCATTTCGTGGCGGCGGATTACGGACACATGGATATGTTGGACGATGATCTGGAGGGTGCGGTGGGGTATCTGGCAGGTTGTTTGTGCAAGAAGGGGAAGCTGGACAAGAGCGGTATGAGGAGATTCGTAGGGGGGATAGTGGTGGCGTTCTTGAAGTACAGTGTGTTTGGGGACAAGTCGGAGATCAATAGCATCGTTAAGGATCCTTCCCTTTCTCCGGCGAGGATCGATCCTCCCCCTCAGTTCCACGAAGCTTCCTCTTTCGTTTGAGTGCTTGTCTTCCAGTTTGTAACCCGATGCCGTTGCTCTTCTTAATTAGTTGAATATGAACGTTTTATCACACAAACAATGTTCAAGAGCACACACTTTCCATGATTTGATCGAATCGGTAAATCAGGCGGGGGTTTGCAAGTATGATAAAGGCGTGAGAGGAAGAGAGAGCTGTGTGTTTTGTGAAGAATCTTGAGGGGTGGGCCAATTCATGCCGACATTAAAACCTATGATTTGTTCGTTGGCAGACTGGTCCCCCTTCCCTCTCTACGTCCGAATGGCCATAGTTTTCATGGGATTGAGAAATGTCTCGAGTGTGACAAGGAGAATATGTTGTCACGTGAAACTCTTGTATTGTTGCATAACATCATCCTAAAAATTCAGATTTCACGACAGCATTTACTGTAGAGACTTTATAGCTGCGTTCAAACAACAGACCGCATTCAAAACGAAAACGGATTACACAGCCACCAGGTAATGCGCGCGCATGCTCCATATGTATTTCATAGTGTGTATGAATCAGGAACTCCGTACATATGTATTCACAAGGGACAGTTGCGATGGCAGAGGCAGTGTCGAGAAATGGAATTCGGGCATGCTCCATAATCAGCACCTTCGCCTTTGCAGACGTCGTTGCATACTTTCTCCCCCAAGCTGTTGTACCAACAGTTATAGTTTGGCAGGTTCCTGCTTTCCCATTCCTCGCACCCCTCTCCCATCCCTGTTTTTTTGTACATCAAAACTTGTCGGTAAATGAAATTTCACAATCTAGAGCATGAAGAAACCAAAGCTTAATTTGCTTACTCGTGGAAGCTAGCAAGAGGACGAGGACGACAGAGAAGCACAAGGAGCTGAGGGTCTTCGCCATTTGCTTCGGTTTCTCCTCCAATTCTCTCTCTCTCGAGTGTGTAATATATTCGAGCGCATTCGTCGTTTTGTGTTAAAGAAAAAGGAAAGATGAATCAAAATCACAACCCCTTGATTTAGGGGATTCTCTTGTTTATCTTCATTGTCGTTTGTGCATAAACTAGCATTTCCGTCATTTTCTGAAGCTCTGTCGTTTTTAGAAAGTCAATTATGTGACGTTGATCTTTGGATGACTTGCTGCTGTTGCGTATGTATGATATATATATAGTATTAATTTCAAAGCCCGAGGCCCTTTGGACTGAGAATGGGCTGAAGAAAAGCCCCCTTTTTTTTTTACGGCAGCGGCGGTGACATGATAGTATGATAGAGAAGGCAATGCTCCCCCACCAACCCAAGTGATGATGCGATTAGATGCTGCGCTTTGACAGAGAGACATTCAATTGATGCATCATAGGCCGTACGAGAAGAAAGCCACTGCAGAGAGACATTCAGATGATTTGAAAAAGCAGGAGCTCGTGCGTGCATTTTGAAACCCAAAACCCACCAGAGGCGATGTTCGATGCCTAACCAAAGGTTGCGTCCTGGAGTCAAAATGTGAACTGTTGAAGGGGTAAGACGCCTGTGTTGGGCCTTAAGGGCCCATTGGTGGAAAAAGTGAATCCTCCGAATAATAGAGAGGCTTCGGTCACTTAATTGAAACGAGGCGTTTCAACATGTTAGGGTTTTGCTTGTCTCTCTTTGAGAGCCGGAGTGCCCGATCCCTTAGCCCCGGGCCCTAGTGACCCGGTGGAAAGAGACGTAAGACCTCCCGAATCCTCGGTTTCCCGAGCTGGAGTTTGTGGGCTCCCCTCATCAGCAACCCCCCATGTAGATGGATCATCCTCTAGTGTGTCCCCTAACCCTAAGATCTCTAAGCTAATGGACATCTTCTCCTTCCATAAGGAGAAGTCTCCCTTGCCGTCGAACTTCTCGACGTCAAGGCCGCGATACAGAGGGGCAGACATCACTAAGGAATACCTAATCTCTAACCCGAGGATGCACTAGACCTACCCAGAACGAAACTAACCTGGGAATGACTAACCCGACCCTAGGAGCTCCTAAACCAGACCTAAGGAGCAAGACCGATCCTAAGAGGACCTAAACCTAGGTATTTTTCAACCTATCAGACCTAATAGACTCTAAAACCTGCCTACCTAAGACCTGATTACGTCTAATCAGACCTACCCCAAGGCTAACACTGACCTAACCAACCTAGATCAGACCTAAACTGAGTCTATTCTGTCCTCCTAAGTCCTAATCAGACCTAAGCCAACCCAATATTGACTTACCTACCCCTGATCAGACTTGAATTAACCTAATCAGATCTAAACTAAGTCTAAACCGACCTAATTAAATCTGATCAGACCTTATCTAGCCTAATACCGACTTCTAACTCACCTAGTTCAGCCAAATCCTCCTATTCAGGCCTAACCGGACAGAATTACCGGACTCTATGACTGAGGATAGGTTACCAAAGTCTACCGCAGATCTAATCTGCCTTTTACCTAGGATAGATCGACCTATACAGATCCTAAATACCCTATACCAGACAGAATGCCCTAAGAACCGGACTCTATCTGACCCAATCGAACCAATCAGACCTAAAACCGACCAATTTAAGACCTAATCAGACACTCCTGACCCTAAACCGACCAATCTAGACCTGTTCTAATCGATACAGACCCTAAACCAGACAAACCCAGCCCTATTTGGACAAATCAGACCCTAATCAGACCTAAACCGGCCCAATCCCAATCTAAATTGACCTAAACCGGACTCTATTGTCCTAAACCGGTCCTAGATTGACCTAAACCGGTCTGGGTTATCCCGAACCGGACCTAAATTGACTCGAACCGGTCTGAACCGGTCCAATTGACCCCAAACCGGACCTGAACCGGTCCAATTGACCTGAACCGATCCGGTTTTCCTAACCCGGTCAGCTGTTGACCAGAAATTGGTCAACGTTTGACCTAACCCGACTAAACCGGTTCGATTTTGAATCGAGCCCGGTCCAATTAGACAATTCCGATTTAACCGGCTAAACCGGATTAAACCAGAAAACCCTAATTTCGGAAGCGTAGCCGCCGAGTTAACCCGGTCAACTCGGACGTTGACTCACCCGTTTCCCGACTCAGTCGCGACTCAGAACGAGTCACGGCCGAAAACTGCCGGAAAACACCGGTTCTTCACCGGTTTTCCCTCCCCAACCTAGATCTAGCCCAGAACTAGGCAAAAACTCACCTCTTCGGAGTCTAAACTCGACTGATTCACTCAGATCGAGTTAGATCCGGGAAACCTTACCTCTCTCCGCCGACGATCTGAACTTTTCCGCTGGTTTCGAACGCCGATCTACACTGAGACGGCCTCGACTGCCTTGTTTCTTTCACCTGAAACACTCACGCACCAGATCAGAAAGTTCAGACCAAAGACCGACGTACCTTGACTCACCTCGGCTTCGACTTGACCGCCGAATCCACCGAACCTCGCCTCGACCAGGCCTCTGATACCACTTGTAGAGAAATCGGCCCGACGAGTTCCTCACAGAACACTCCGATCTGAACCTCTCGTGTGCAAGAAAAGAAAGAGAGATGCGAGACAGCGATGTACGAGTTCGGTACCGAGCTCTAACGCTCGGTGCCTACGTCTCGGGAAGAGGGAACCGCTATTTGCTAGGTACAACCGCCGGAGTTCCGATCGAAATCGGCACCGACACACGGAGGACGAAAATCGCCACCGCAAGAGAGAGAAACCTAAAAGCAACCAAAATGCCAAGTCTGTGCGAGAAAGACGCAAACCCTGCCCTTTACAAAGTTCCCAAAAATACCCCTGAAGCCTTCTGCTTCAGTCCGAGACTTCGAAAGCCTCCGTTTCTCCCAGCGGGTTTTGACGAAGACCTGGCTTCTACAATATTGATATTGAGTATTTACAAGTGAATTTAGATAGAATGTCACTTTACCATCAATTTGGCAAAAAAAAATACTAAAAAAAGGGAATGTATAAATTAGCATAGGTAATGCTAAATCAATATTATATAAAACAAGTGGGCAATCGAGTCATTCTCAAATAAGCGTATACTTGTAAATGCTTATTCATTTGCATAAAAAGGCATTTTCTAAAACAGAGTGTATTGTATATATGTTGCAAAGGAATACATATATATACATATATATAGGGAAATCGAGTCATTCTGAACGCATTTGAAAGGGATGGAGAGTCAAGGAAGCTGGCGTCTTTTAAGCTCCACGCCGAGTAAAATCGTAACACGGTCGCTATCAAATACGAGGGAAAATAGATCATTTTACACGTTTTATATTGCCATATGCACATCTAAAGCTAATGAACTACACATATAGATATATGTATTTGTATGTGTATTTGCTGTTTAAGAAATAAATGGTTTCAATGATATGGAAGAAAGTATAAGTATATCTCTAAGAGCAATTCACGTGTAAATTCATAGCAGAAGCCTCCCGTTTAGACCTAGATCAGGGTGTGAGATAAGCATTAACTTTTTATTTTTCTGGTAAAATAAAAATTCACGAGATCTTTGATATATATAAGACGATGCGAGGATATTTTCTTCTTCTGTAATATATATGCATGTGTGTGTGTGTGTGTGTTATAGTTATGAGAGAGAATAATTGAAGGGGCTTATGGCATGTTTGCTTCACGCAAACAGCTTAACGAGAGAGAGAGAGAGAGAGAGAGAGAGGGAGAGAGAGAGAGAGAGAGAGAGAGAGAGAGTTTGTTTGGGCTTTGTCGCGTGGCTTTAAAGGCTCTCCTTCCATATTTCCCCACTTCCTTGTTCTTACCAAACCCTAACTCTTCTCCATACCTATTCCCTAATTCCTCCCTTCTTCGATGTATTAACAATCTCAACAAAAGGAGAAAAGAAATCAAAACCCTAATAACGTTTTGACATCTTGACCGGTTTGTTCAGTCGGTTTCCACTCATGAGCGGCGGTGAAGGAAGCGGCAGTGGCGCCGGAGGAAACGGGCCATGCGGTGCATGCAAGTTCCTAAGGAGGAAATGCGTCCCCGGCTGCATATTCGCACCGCACTTCGACCACGAGGAAGGAGCCACTTACTTCTCAGCGGTCCACAAGGTCTTTGGTGCGAGCAACGTCTCCAAGTTACTTGGTCAAATCCCTTTGCACAAGCGGTCCGACGCGGTCACGACCATCTGCTACGAGGCTCACGCCCGGCTCAGTGACCCTGTTTATGGCTGCTTCACCCAAATCTTCGCCCTACAACAGCAGGTACACTAAATATATTCTCCTGATTTACAATGATCACAGCGACAAATTCTGTTGTTTTGATAAAATTTGAATGGTGACTACTGATACTGAATCGATTTATCATCATCAGTGTATATTCTTGTATTTATGCATATCATCCGTTCGGACAAATCATTAGAAACGGCTGTCTTGGATCATCTTTCTGTGGGGGTTCGGCGTTCTGTTTGGTCCATCATAACAATATTTGAAGGGCGGTTTTGAAACTTTAGTCGTAGGCAAATCGCATGGAGTTTTGCTGGTTTCCCGGAGATAGGCGTCGGTTTCAATTGCTGTCTTGACACGTTACCATTATACATTAATTAATTATTTCCCCCCCTTTTTGCATGGTTACAAAATTAATCGAGCGATTTAACACGATGATTGTTAATTGTGTATATATTGGTAGTTTTTAAGGTATACACCAATATCGACATTAGAGTTAGTTGTGTAGACATGATAAGAATTAAGAATAATGGATGTCATCATAACAATAATAATGGCATGGATTAATCTCAATATGGTCAATAAATTCAATGTGAGCATATGGGATGCAGTCCAAGTTTTAGATCCCTTTTACATGTATTATTTTAATATTTTGTCACTATATATTCCTTCACGAAAGTATAAATCCTCTGACAAAGGATTTGCGCAAGTGTTCAAACTCTCCATTTTTTGACCAAGTTTTTGTGATTTGACAATACATAAATGGCAAGAGGTCAAATGTTTGTATTTCTGGAAAAAATGGGTGTATATAAATATTCATAATTTCACAAAGAAAAATATATTAGTAGCTGTTCATATAATAAATTTTTTAAAAATGAGAAACCGCAGCATATTTTCTTCGTTAAATATGGACACTTGCACAAATAAAGAAAATAATATTTGATTTTTTAAAATAAAAACGAACAATGATTGATTACCTTACCAAAAAACCATTTAATTAATTTCAGGTTTGTTAATTTTCCATATATCGGCACCAATTTAAATTGCATGTCTTTTTCAACCCACATTTTTTTGCTAATCTATTCACGTTCATACACATTTTGTTCGCAGCATTTAATTGCACACGTTATGTAATAATGTGTATTTTTTTAAAAAACTTTGTATACACAGGTGGTGAATCTACAGACGGAACTTTCTCACTTACAAGCCCATTTGGCAACATTAGAGCCGCCGCCGCCACCGCCGCGTCCTCCCCCGGCTGTGGTTCCTCCACCGCTTCTGATCTCCGACTTGCCGGAGAACTCAGGCTCACCACAACCGTACGATCTGTCATCCTCTTTTGACCCGACGGCTCTGAGGACTCCGTCGTCGTCATGGGCCAACATGCAACGGAGACTCGTCGACCCACGTCAACAATACGGTGCCATATTGTCGTCATCATCGGGAAATGAGCTTCAAACATTGGCTCATGAGCTCTTTCATCGACACGTGTCTCCATCTCCGCCACCGCCGGGCACCGGCGGCTCGCCCCCTCGCTCTATTTCTAGATGAGATATCTTCCTTTTGTTATTACGAACATACACTCTCTCTCTCTCTATATATATATATTCAATGCTATTAATTTCCTTGGAGAAGAGTATTAATTTAAATTATATATAACGTATTCACATTGCATTATTAAGTTTACTATATATTCGTCGTCTATAACTCTGCACGTGTTTATAATGCACCTTTTTTTTTTTAATCGGACATCATTGGCCTCACGTTTCTTACAGAATCTCGCCGTACTCTTTAATTACTCAGTTATGTTTTTTGTCTTTGGGTCACGTCTCCACTAGGTTTGAGCCCATTACTCACATTCTTATTTAACGGCCTTTTTGGGCTTAAGCTATTACCGGCCCGTAAACGTTGTCCTTCACGGCTTTTACGATACGACGGCGTTTGGAAGCACCAAGAAAAAAAACCAGGCGATATATCATTGTATTTTTTTTTGGAAATAATTAATAAACAAATGAATCGTATTTACCCAAGATATTAAAAAATAAGACAACGTTTTTGTACAGGCAATACAGCTATACAACTCTTCGTTTTTTTAATTTCAAAAATTAATTTTAAAAGTTGGGCGGACGTCGTACGTAGTAAGTAATCATTTTTTTATGCATTTTAAATTCAATAAATTTTAATTATAAACTTGTAAGAAAGCGCATAAGCACTCCCCCTTATGTTGGAGCTCGCAGCCTCTCTCTATCAGTTAAATATCTTTATACGGTGGAGATCATCACCACAATTGTTTTTTTTCTTGTATCGATGGTACTTTGCATATGCATCTCCATATACAAAATCATGCTAATCATAGATACTTTATTATAGTATATTTATGAGATTTAGCCCTTTTATTCATTTCTCCCCCATATCATTTCTTTATAGTTCTCGAATCTTTGTTGTTACGCCATTACTTTCCCAGCGAATTCCGTTATATCCATCTATCTATATATAAAATCACATAATAAATATAGATTATGTACGTACCGTCAGAATATTAAAAAAAATATTATTGATTAAACGAAAACCTAAACAAGACTTTGACATTAGAAGGCCTAGGGGCCTTTAGTATCTGTGTTTGATTTCAACGACAGGAAATTTAGTAGTGCGTGAATTCTAGTTAAGCGACTAAGCTTGCCATTAATTAAGCGCTATATATATATATATATATATATATAATCTTCATTAAAATATACACATCGATTAGTTTAGTTTGATCAGTTAATTGGTATATAATTACGCGATTAAATTTGTGTCTTGCATTGTTGCGTGTGCGTTGATGTTGGAGGAACCGTTGACATTAATTTTGAAACCAAATTCTCGAGGCTTAGGTTCATTTGAAAAGGAAAACGAAGGTAGCTCCAAATCTTTCGTTGTCAATCACATGACAACATCTTCTTTGGTCGGCTATTCTCAAATTGTTACCTTTATTTTCCCTATTTTTTGCATTTTTTTAGGGTTGCGACCCTGGTAATGAAAGGGGGGAAAGGAAGGATGGAGAAAACTACACAGGGTTGTGTTTTTATTTAAGATTTCCAACGATTACAGTTGTCGGCCGGATAGAAATGAAATGACGATTTTCCGATATAGTATACTGTGTGAGAGGTTATGAAACGGCGTGCAAGTTTCAGAAGAACGAGGTAAACTTCGCATGCGAAAACCCACAAACAAAAAACACAGAAACATAGAAAACAAAGAGAAAGAGATGAAGATAAAGTTATCTTTGATTAATTACTCTTTTTTTTGGGTAATATTTGCCCCCAAAAGGGATTAATTACTATCTTTGATTAATCAAAGATTAATTACTCTTTGTGGTCCGTAATTGATAAATTTTCATTCAAATAATCTCTCAGATCTAGAAGGATGGCTGAAACTTCGATGTTGGAAGAAGACTTCAGCCAAAAACATCTATATGCTGTTCCTTTTTAGTAAAAAAAAAAACTAGTTTTAAATTTGATTAGTATGGCATATATGATATATTTATTAATTTGTTAGGGCAGAAAAAGACAAGGAGGTTTGGTTGGTATGCTTATTAAATGGTGAAGATTCCACCAACCTCATTAATGATATAGACATATAATATATTATAATGCGACATTATATAATGTCATCATCTTGCGCTAATTAAAGGGGATGGCTATACGTGGTTTGTGTCTCTTCGAGATATTAAAAAAATGGGTTAAATTTGATAACAATATGGACCTTAACCCAAAGCTCCTTTTCCTACGCGCTTTCAATTATTTTTATTGTTTAACCTAGATTTAATTAGCATTAGTTATTTGACTTCTATTTAGATCAAAAAACGCATCGAGCTATGCGACTTTAATCCACCTTTTATCACCTTGCTTTATTTTATCTAATCCGTCCTTATCCTCAACGCACATAACTTTATTTTTATAATTGGTATAATAATCTCGATCGACGCCTATCGATACATGAGAGCTTATAAAGATCCATATATGGATATAACAATTAATCTTAATTAATCGATCTCTCGTGTATATATATAGCGTTTTTTTGACGTCCCAATGATTTGATGGATTTCTATGTGGAACGATTTGGTGGACACTAGAACTCAGACACCACTAACCATATTTTGTTCAGCCCATAAATAAAGTACAACTAAGTGACCTTTTCATACAGAATATAATCAGCGTAACGTCCAAATGTGTAGTGGTGACAACATGTCGTACGTTACACATAGAATTTAGGGCAGGGTTTTGATGATAACGATGCATGGAGAGGCAGGGGCTTGTGCGTGCATAAGCATGCATTAGATGCAGAGCAGAGGGGTGCATGGGTTTCAGAGCCACATGCCCTCTACTAATTGGTTCCACCTAACACAAGTGATTGAAGACAAAAGCGGTAGTCATGTCCGATGTCTGCCACGCAAGTGCATAGAACCGGACGGGTCGGGTCGGGTCGGGTGGTGGGTGGGTGGGTGAGTGTCAGCGAGATCCGCGGTGGATGGGGGGAGCTGGAGAATGTGGCGATGAATCACGCCCCACACGTCTTGGTTTCTCAGTCAACCTACACTCTCTCTTCTTCCTATGTGGTCAAACCCCCCAAGGCTCCAACTCATTATATATATACATATATATATATATATATATATAATACGTGTGTAATTTAAAGCAAGAGAACACAAATGGGCGACGAGAGTTGTGTATGATTTGACGTGTGGTGTCCAAAATGTACTTTAGGAAGACAAACAAGTAGATGGGGAAAATTTGACAAGACATACTTACATTTGGTTTATAAGATCTTTTTGTCAGCATTTGGTGCTTTCTTTTTTTTTTAAATAAAAAAAAGTGAAAATAAAATAAATCACCGGCGTTGGAATATTCCGTGACGTGAAAGCCACCTCTGTCTGTTTTTTTTTTTTGGTGAGAAAAAAATTCAGACGAGAGAGAGAGGAGAGAGGAGAGAGGAGAGACTGTCAGCTATGGGCCTCGCTGGCAATCGATGACGTGAAAAGCATCGCAACGGGGAAGCGACATATATCCAACGGCCAACCACGCCCC